GGTGTAGGGAGCGTGGGTAAGGTCATAGTGTGCGGTATGGGCACACCGGCTGGTACGGGCGTGGGCGCGACGAGGCCGAGAGACGGCGGGGACTGCGCTCTCAAGCCGGCTTTCGCGTCGAGGCCGGTGGTAGACTGCGAGCGCGGCAGCCCCAGTCTCCTCCCGCTGGTGTTGCTGCTGGTGCTGGGCCGCGGCGCGTCGATCGACATCGGGCGCTGTCGTCTCCTCCGCGGGCTCCCCGGTCGACTACTCGGCGGGCTCCCCGGTAAGGACAACTCAGTCGGACTGCCCAGCGGACTCTCAACCCTAACCCGCCCCTCCCCCATCCCATCGTCCGCAAGCACACTGCTCGGCGTCCCCGGAACACTACTCGCCACACTCGCTCTCCTAGCCCTCGAACTAGCCGCACTGAACGATCGCAGCGCATGCGCAATAAACGCGCCCACCGCCGTCCGCGGGATCTGAGGCAAGCTCTCTGGCTCGGGCTCTGGTGGTCGAACGGTAGACTTGTACAGTATACGATCACACCACGACGGCACGCGCTGCTTGGACGACGAGTCGTACACGCCGCGCGATTTGTCGTCGTTGTCTACGTCTGATTCGTCGCCGCCTAAGCCGCTGGTCGTGAGACCCGACCGCGTAGAGTTTGCGCGGCGGCGGAGGATCGGCGGGCCGGTGAACAGCGAGGAGGCGGGGCGCTGGGGCGAGGGGTCGAGGAGCTCGCTGCTCGGGTTCGTCCCGCTGCCGCTGCGGCTGGGCGTGGGCGGGAACCCGGGTGTGCGCGGTGTGCGCGGTGCGCCTGCGCCTGTACCGGGTGTGCGCGGGAGCGGGCTGCGCGGGCCCGGGGAGAGCAGCTCGTGGAACTTGGCCTTGGCTTTACGCGCGGCCTTGACGGATATGACGCGCACGAGCTCGCGCGGGCGTTTGTTGCTCTTCGCGGCCGCGCGCGCGTTCGCGGCGGCTTCAGAATCGATGTCGTCGGAGCAGGAGGAGCACGAGTCGCTGTCGCGGTCGCGGTCGTCTTTGCGCTTCGAGGCGGCGGTGGAGAGCGATGTGGCGCCGTCGTTGTCTTCGTCGGATGAGGAGGAGGGGTCGTTCTCCGGGCTCGGTTGCGCGCTGCGGCTGCGCGTGCGGAGGGGGGTAGACGAGCTCTTGGTGCTTCGTGCGCTTTCGCGCGAGCGGCGCGGTTCGGGGGCTTCGGGTATAGGCGGGCTCTGCTTGTTGGTTGGGGCAGCATTGCTCGGTCGTCGGCCGTGCTTGCCCTTGAGCGTGCGGAGGACGTCGTACTTGAACGTGGGCGGGAAGTCGATCGCGGCCTCGCGGAACCCGACGAACGCCTGCCCGTTGCGCATGAGGTTCGTCAGCTGGTCGAACTGCAGCGCCTGCGCGAACTCGCCGCGCGCGATGAGCCAGTCGGCGTGCAGCCGCGAGAGGTCGAGGCGGAAGTTCAGGTCGCCGCACAGGAACGTGTGGTCGAAGCGGTCCGTCAGGTCTTCTGACATCGCGCGCGGGTCGTCGGGCCGCAGGAAGTCGGCGATCTGCAGCTCGGCCTTGATCTTGGCGAGGTTCGCGAGCCGGTCGGGCACGCGGCGGTCGTGCGCGGCGAGGTGGGCGTTGAGAAACAGAAAAGAGGCGCCGGCGAGCTTGAGGGAGATGCCGACGCCGCCCTTGTTGCCGAGGCGGCCGCCGATGAGGCCGGCTGTGACGGCGCCGCGGGAGGTGCCCTGGACGAGGTGGCGCGCGTCGCGGTGGACGAAGACGCAGAGGTAGAGGCCCATCATGCGCTCCTTGACGAGCATCTCATACGGGCCCTTGCGCTCGATCCCCGCCACGCCCCACCCCTTCGTGCGCGGCTCGCGGCGAATGTCGCCCGTGGAGAATGCGCGCTCGAGGTGCTCTGGCGCGGGCGGCTTGCGCGGGCTGTTCCCGTGCCCGTGATGATGCGCGTGCTCTGGCAGAGGCTCGGCGTGGCAGAACCAGGACTCGAGCACGGCCGTCCAGCCCGACGTGGCGCTGGCCCCGTGCGCGTCGTCGGCACTCCCCGCGTCGTTCTTGAGGAGGCGCGCCTGGAGCTCGCGCAGGCCCTCGGCGTAGCGCTCGCGCTCGTCCTTCTCCCGCTGCACGTCCTCCTCCGTCAGCGCCGCGCCCTCCCGGTTCTCCCGCCGCTTTTTCTCCTTGTCCGACAGCTTGAAGCCCGCGCCGAGGCCCATGGGCAGGCCCGACAGGCTGGGGCATTCCTGGCCGGCGACGACGACGAGGTGGTACGGGTGCTCGCCGTCCTCCGGCAGGTACGGGAACGCGTGCGGGTCGTTCAGCGGCAGCCGCGGCGTGTACGGCGTCACCGGGCCCAGCAGCTCAGTCAGGTCGCCCTATGTACGAAATATGTTATTAGGAGCTAGATTTGGTAATGATGGTACGGCCGCGCACCTTGGGCAGGCTCTCGTGCATGTTCCAGGTGATGATCCTCACTTTGACCGCTTTCGGCGGCGGGGGCGGCAGGCCGTGGATCGAGCTGGGCGACTCGACGCCCGCGACGGGCGAGGGCAGCGCGCTCTGGCTGTGGGGTGCGGGGAACAGCGACTGCAGCCGCGCGAAGACGTTCAGGTTGTTATTATTATTGTTGTTGGCATTATTGGTCGGCAGTGGCAGATGCGGGTGCGGCAGCGAGTGGAAGGTGGGCGGGTCCGGGAGGTGCAGGCGCAGCGGGTGCTCGCCGCTCATCGTACGACGCGGGCGCTGGTGATGGGTCGAGGTGCAAGGCGGGCGACACGCATCTGCTGCTGTATGATTCTGATCGTAAGGCAACGTCGACGTACCACCCGAGGCAGTGTGCGGTTATAGACACATCAGCCCGTCGTGATGGCACCCATCATACCCACGCCCAAGTCCACACGTGTCTACAGGGCGTGCCGCCGGCAAGTTTGCGCTTCCATTCCAACCACCATGACAGATTGGCGGGCTTGTGCATCGAGATAATCGAGATGCGGATCGCGATGACTTGCTGTCACGACCTGAAAGCCTAGCTCTGGCGTACAAGTATCAGCCCCAGCAATAAGTACTGCTAGACCGCGAGTATGACGTCGAGCCGCACTTCCAGAGCCATGCAGTCCGCTGCATACGAATTTGCGCGACCTTCCTCGGAGTCCGGAGCATCCTCAGAGATCCTCAGTTTGCTTGGGAGACTACGGTTCTCGGCTGAAGCGCTCGTCCATCTCGCAACCTATTGCGCCGGGGCCTTTCCCGACCTGCCACGCCTGCTTGCTCTCAACCTTGCAAAGTCCTCGAGCTCACTACGTTCGAGGCCTCTTGCTGAATCCATCACCGGGCGCACCAGGCTTGCACCAGGCTCAGTACACTCATGTATCTCTCTAGTCGAAGTTGCATAGAGTCCAGGCTCGCACCGCGTCGTTCTTACGCTCAATAAGTACGGTACTAATATGATCTTCAGGGAGAATGTCGTCACTTTGCGCGGCGAAACTGCTCACATCACTCGCAGCGATCCCTATGGGGATGGGCAACGCTCGCGCGCCGCGGCAGATGCCGCGTGCGACGCGGCAACGGCCGATCCCCGCCAAAACGCGTCCCGCCCTGGCAAATTCCTTCCGGTGCATTTATAAATTCGCCCACCCCTTGTATCCCTCCCGTTTTTTTTGAATATATCACGCCAGCTGGTTTCTCCAGAGAACTATGAAAGCTTTTGGTCGAACTCCGTGATCCAGGGTATCTCCTCATCAAGTGACGCTCGAGCTCGAACCTTTCATAGATTTGTGGGGAATCGGACTGGCGATCCAGATTTACCGTCATTTTCCCTCAGAAGTGACGCAGAGCTCGTAAAAATGCACCGCAAGGTCCGGCCAAAATGCTCGGCCGCGATCCGAACGATCACGTGAACATCCTCATCGCGCCTTGCTCGAGCGCGTTCGCCGCGCGAATCTGCCCCGCTCGCTCGCCTGGCTCTCTACAAGGCTATCTACTCGAGCATGAAACCGTAGAATGTTGTCATGACCAAGTACTGCTGATCTCTCTATGCTTTGCCGCAAATCCCCTTCGCCCAAGTGAGCTCCCAAGACCGAACTCAGACATGATCATCCTCCAAGGTGATAGACTCAATTTCGCCCGTGTGCAGCTATAATCAATGTCTCATACGATTATATATGTCTAAAAGAGTCTACCTACCTAGTAGCTTAGCAGGCTGATCTCTCCCGAATATTATGTGGTTCAATCGGTGCGGGATGTCTCGTTTCGCAATGTGGCCTCGATTTCTTCTCTTACCACCGCTCATTTGAGTCACAAACCCGCGAATGGTCTTCAGTCATATGGAACAGCTTATATGAATATTTTGGAAACCGGGCATGCAGTGGTTGAGCCTGCAGAAGGCGTAGCCACGTCGAAATGGCATTTGGCTGGGAGCGGCATCACGTGCCGCCGCACGCGCGTCGAACGGGCGTTGATGCCGCAAAAGCGGATCCACTCAAACCGCCGCCGATACCTCACATTGATCGCATCACCCGTTTTCACACCTCAGTCCGCGCATTCCGACATAGAACCCTCGGGTGACATTTGCGAGCTTTGGCGCTGCGCCGTCTGCGGCCAAGGGTATGTTTATTCACGCTATGTTCCCACCACGCACGACTTACGCGAACCACAGCTCTTCGCTGGGCTCACCCTCTGCCGTCAGTCGACTATAAAGCCCTCGGCGACCCTGAGCCTCGCTTTCCTCATTCCCCTTCTCACTTCTCTTTCTTATTTCACTTTCTCAGCTATGACTTTCATGAAAAGCCTCGCCGTTCCCCTCGTTGCTTTCGCTTCTTCTTCGCTGGCGAGGCCGACGACCCGCGTGCAGAACGCCGTCGACACTTATTCGCAGATCTTCACGTCCATCGGCAGCGTGCCGGACATTCTTCCGTACTTCTACGGCACCCCTCTTCGCACGACGTACCCGACGCTCGATGCTCCCCTGCAGCCCGGCCAGGCCATGTCTGTCGCCGGTAAGCATTTGTTGCTTTAACAGTCTGCCGGGCAGAATCTGATATCGGTTGTGCAGAGGCCACCGCGCGCCCGACGTTCTGGGCGGCCCCGGACCAGAACCTGAACCCCGACATCCCATACGTCGTGATCATGCTGGACCCCGACGCGCCAGGCATCCAGGACCGCCACCTCTCGCTCGCGCGCCACCTGATCCAGCAGGACATGTACATCCTGCCCAACGGCCAGTTCGTGAACGCCACGCCCGCTCTCTCCGAGCAGGTCTTCCCGACGCCGATCGACGCGCCTCACCGGTACGCCTACCCTCTCCTCCTCTCCTCTCCCTCTCCCTCTTGCTAATATGTGCGTCGCGCCACAGCTACTCCATCTTCCTCTTCGAGCAGCCCGACGGCTTCACCTCCACCGCCTCCTCCATCCTCAAGCCGCTCCCCGAGGGCGTCACGAACTTCGACATCCTCGACTTCATGGCGCAGACCGGGCTCCAGCAGCCCGTCGCCGGCACGTTCTTCCTCTGCGGCGGCGACGACGTGGTGAACCATACCTCCGCGAGCTACGGCCAGGCGTTCGCGGACGCCGGGCTCGTGCCGAAGCCGCTCGGCGTGTTTGCGCCCGAGGCGGTGTTGGACGTTACGTACCCGTCCGCTGTGAGCAACGGCTCGTTCCTCGTGTTCCCGGGGTTGAACGTTACTGAGGACCGTGCGTACCCTCCTCCACACACCCTTGAGACACGCGTACTGATATCGTGAAATGCAGAGGTCGTCTCGCAGCCCGACCTCTACCTCACCTTCGAATCCACCGGCCTCTCCCAAGACGCCGCGGGCCTCTTCACCTCCACCTTCGTCCTCTTCGCCCTCGACCCCGACGCGCCCACGCCCCAAAACACATCCCTGGCCAACTTCGTGCACTGGGTCCAGCCGAACCTGAAAATCTCCGGCCCGATGAGCACCTTCGCGCCGCTCGTGAACAGCACGCCCGCGCTGTTCGAGTACCTGAGCCCCGCGCCGCCCGCGACGAGCGACGCGCACCGGTACGCGTTCGTGCTGTTTGAGCAGCCGGAGGGGTTCGAGGAGGCTGCGGTGCAGAATATTCCGGCGGATCGGACGAGCTTTGATTTGGATGCGTTTGCGAAGGCCGTGGGGCTGGACGCGCCGGTTGCGGGGACGTTCTTCAGGACGGGCGCGAATGTTACGTTCCCGAGCCCGATGCCTGCGTGAAGCTCTTCAGCTTCAACGGTGCTTGGGAAGACTAAGAGGACTGGGTCTATCGTGATATCGCGTAGGACGGTCTGCGCTTCGGGGTTCGGCATAACTTATGTTAACTTACTGGCTGCGACGGGGACGCTCGCGTACGTACGATTATGGTCGGGGCGATGATGTGCTGTATAGGTTTACCTTTGCTTTTGTTGTTTTCTGTACATACTATTGCATTTTGTTGTTGCTTTTCTGTACATTTTTGTGTGTGTGGGAGCGTGAGAGTTCGGTCCGGGTGCCCGATGTGTGGCGCGCGGCTTTTGCGCGTCAATCGGACGCGCGCGAGTTGCTTCTGGACTACCATTGCGATACGCTAGCTACATACTCCAGAGAGGTTCTCGCGAATACTACCTACATATGAACACAGTACTTGACTCGCAAGTGCGGCTGCATTTTGGCTGCAGTATGGAGTGCTTGCCCGTCCAAACGATGAGCGTCAACAATGGGTGCGAGAGCTGTCGGACGCTCGTTCCCGCCGACGTGGCTGGCACTCGACAGTTGCTCGTCGGAATCCTGCTCACAAATCAATAGCCACAGATGTAGTATGCAGGCACGTCTTGTCGCTCACCGTGAGTATCCGACTACCAGGCCAAATCCTACAGCATCCACCCACATTCACCGAACAAGTGCTGGATGACTTGTTCCCCGACGAACAGACACGGCGCTTGCTGCACGCCGATCACTCCTATCTTCCTGCTCTAGACTTCGCGCGCTTGGTCGCGAAGATGTAGCTCTCGACCAAGGCATACTGGCCTGCAGTCCAAGACAGGGGCCCCTTAGCTATATCTCTGCGCATTATTCGACGTCTCGTCCTCAACGAACCTCGATAATCGCCGCACTACCCCACATTCGCTTTACACCCACACTCTCTTTACCCACAGTCTTTACTTTCAGTCATGATACCTTCTACCATCGTCACAATCTGGACCTTCCTCGTTGGTCGTTCCGTACGTCTGGCATCTCATAGTCCTTGATGTAGAGTCGCTCACGCACATGTACAGGAAGCACGCCAGGCTCAGAAAGCTGCCATACGACTCGCCCGCAACGCGGAGGCCAATAACCTCAGGCGCGACCGCAAGCGCGAGCAGGACGCTCATCAAGAAACGTGCGATGCTCTCGAGGACTCGAAGCAAGCCCATCAGCTCGAGCGCGAGGCCCACCAACGGACGAAGGACGCCGCGAAGGAAGCCGACAAACTCAAGGACGCTACTCATCGGCGGGAGACCTCAAACCTGCTCGCTAACTCCGACAAGAAGAGCGGCCGCATCGAGGAGCTCTTGAAAGCTTGCAAGGTGCGCTATACTGCTGCTTGTGCCTTCCGCATTCATTCTTAACGCTTCCACAGACCGGGAACTTCGCGTATTGCGCGTTGGAAGCTGCATACGACAAGCTCCTGGCAAAGCTCGACGACATCGACGGTCAACTCAAGCTCAAAGACGCCCAAGTTCGAAAGGCCCAGCGCGAGGCCGATCAGTTGCGGGAGGAAGTAGGGGACCTCAAGACCACTCATCAGGTGCGTACACATTGCATAATCATCTACGCTTTCTATACTCATTTCGACCTACAGGCCGAGCGCATGGTAGACCAATTCGCCATCATCGAGAAGGACGAGCGCATCGCCAATCTTACGAACGAACGGGACACTGCCAATGCAGGCAAGGATCGTGCCGAGCAACAGCTTGGCGCCGCGGACCAGACCATCCACCACCTCCGGTCTGACGTCCACGTATCGCAGCAATCCACGCGCGACGCCGAGGCCGCTAAGGCGAAGTGCATCGCTGACTTCGAGGAGCAACGCCGTGTCTTCTCCGACAAGGAGGCACGCCTTACTTCCAGGGCCGAGGCGGCCGAGCAGGGAGAGCGCGAAGCGAAGGCCGTAGCCGCGGAAGCTACCCATCGCTTTGATGCTCTCCACCAGGAGCGACTTGCCTCGAAAGAGAGCGAGGAGCAACTGAAGCTCGAGTTCGCCGAAACCCGGGCCAAGCTCTCCGAGACCGAGGACGAGCTCGTCGATACTCGTCGCCAGCTCGCTGAAACCCGGAACAAGCTCCAGTTTTCCGAAGCTCGCGAAGAAGGCCTCAAGGTCGACATCGTCGGCTTGGAGGTCGCGCTATCCTCGGAGCGCAGCGAGAACGATGATAACCTTGTGAAGCTTAACGCGGCGCTCGACGAGACCGACACTTTGCGCACTCAACTCGAGGGGACCCAGGCTGACGGGCAGGCTACTAAGCCTGCTGCGCAGCCCCTCTCTGCAATCGTGTCTCTCGCCGACTCTGACGAAGACTCTCGCACTCCCTCTCTGACGTTCTGCGAATCGGACGCCTTCACTCGTGATGGCCCGAAGAACCTCTCAGACGAGTCTTACGTCCCCGCCCGGCCTTCGACGCCTGTATCGGATGGTCTCAACGCGCTCACGATGCCGACTGTCGAGCATGTCACCTCTGACGCTCGCGCTGTTCACATCGTGACCTCAACATCCGCGCTCCCTACCTCGCACCTCGAGCCTGCACGCGACTCGGCCCTCAAGCGCACTCTTGCGTCGCGGCGCCCTCCTCCTGTAACCTCCGGGTTCTTGCAGTCAGTGGAGTTCCGCACAATGGAGCTCCCTCTCTTCCCCGTCGTCGCGGTGAAGACGTCGGCCGTACGGCCCACGGACATGCCCGATATCTTCTCTCCGTCTTGCCTCTCCGGCTCGACTCGCGCTGGCAAGCGCTTCATGCGCCACCTCGCTGGTCATCCTCCCTCCCGGGCTCATACGAGCCTAGCGTTCCTCATCCGCCGGTGCACTACTTGGCCGCGCGCGTTCACGTACTGTACGGTCGTCCCATGACGCTCTCTCAAACCCTCCTCGCGTATCTTTGAATGTTCGAAGTTGATGATGATGATGATGATGGCTTGTTACTATACCTTTCTCAGTTTCGTTACGTTACAGTTCTCTCTTCGTGCAAACCCGCTTGCGCATATACCTTTTATTTATTGAAATTGACTTGTGATAACATATTTGGGCGCTACGGTGCCAGTGTGAACGCTTGAGTACATGAAGATCTTCTCGCACTTCAAATAGCCTGAATTTGTCACAGCCGGAGGCTCACCTTGGTCTACTAGTCAGGATCGATAGCATGGTCTCTGAAGCGAGCGCGAATTCTTTCGAGCGCCCTTCCAACTTGTCGTGAGAGTCGGTTCATACAGTCCTACTTACCAATTCTCATTGATTCATATCATATAATCAGGTATGCGTAATGCGTCACGGCTAGCTCAAGCCTCTCATGATCAATTCGCTGTATGTGCGGAAAACATCATTGGTATTATCCGCATTATTATAGGTTTTACACGGGGAACATGGACGAGCCGATGGAAAGATCGACGACAGACAAACCGAGGGAACTATATCGGAAGGAGAAATACATCACGAAAACATCATATACTGTGTGTAGACGTTGAGGGTAAGGTCCTAGAGAGACGGCGGGGTCGACGTAAGCTGGTCATGGATTTTCAGTGGGCGCGCTCGCTGCGACGTGAGCAGTTACTATTAGCGTCTTCTACGTTAGCGACATCTTGATAGTCGAGGGTGTAGATTGAGCTAGAGTGGGCCGATTATGTTGACAGGTATGTCGACAACGCGTTGATGTTGGAGTGAAAGCTGAGAGTAGAGGTCGAAGTCGGCGCTAAGCTGTGGTTATGATCACGGTTACGGTTACGGCGTTTACGGCGTGGGCCATTACAACAGATGGTGCGAGCTGTGGTCAATCTTGAACGGTATGAGGCGGAGTCCAGGGCGAGAGACAGAAGAACATGGGTTAGACGAGGCTTGAGGCTGGATGATCTTGAGGTCTGCTTCGTTAGAGGCTTACGCGCTGGCCTGCGCGTACTGCCCCTGATAGTAGCCCGCATAGCCTCCATACCCACCATCCTGGCCACCGTAGCCCTGCTGGGCACCGCCTCCTCCCCAGCCCTGTCCGGTGTATCCCTGCGGAGCATACCCGCCCTGTTGCCCGCCGTACCCGCCACCTTGGGGACCACCACGCTGCTGCTGCTGACCACCAGGACCACCGCCAGGGCCCATGTTGCTCGCCCACACCTCCGGACGGCGCCACGGCGGGATGTTGCCAGCACTGCCCATTCCGCCGAGGTCGGCGCCACCGTATCCGGGTGCAGCAGCAGGCTTTGCGCTCTCGCCGAGCTCAGCCATAAGGCTTGCGTACTCCGCATCATAACCACCCGCGCCACCTTTGACCATTTCGCCGCCCATGCCAGGACCGCCACCGATGGCAGGCGGGCCGCCCATACCGGGAGGACCGCCCATACCGCCGCCCATCATGTTGCCGCCACGATTGACCTGACAGTCACGCGCCATGTGTCCGGCGGAGCCGCAAACGCGACAGATGATGTTGGCTGTGAAGTTGCGTTGTTCGGGGCAGTCGTACTTGCGGTGTCCAATACCGCCGCAGTTCTGGCAGACCTGGTTCTCGTCGTCGCGGAGGGTACCGTTAAGCGCGGCTAGCTCACGAAGCTGATTACGCTTGTGGTCGTTCTGGCCTTCGGGCGTCGAGGCAGCCTGCACAAGTGGTTGATCAGGAAGAAGTCTCAATCATTCATAGAAAGATATACATACCGTCTCGATGACCTTGTTGATGAGGTTGACGCAGGCGCGAACCTTCTCGTCCGAGTCGGCGATGACGAGACAGTGCAGATCTTCCTCCGCATCGTCCGCAAACGCGTCGGGACGCGCCTTGCCCTCCTTTACACTGCCCTTTCCACGAATGCTAATCTTCGCACCACTCTCGCGCTCCATCTTCTTGAGCGAGTTGCCACGAGGGCCGACGAGAAGACCGAAGAAGTTGATCTCCGGGAACTCCTTGACAGGAATATAGACCTTGTCCTGAGGGCGCTGTGAGCGCTTCTGCTGGTGGTACTCGACCGGCGGTCGGAAGTTGGGGTCGTTTTTCATGGCGCGGTCGACGAGCCTCATGCGCTCGTCCTCGAGTTTCTTGCGGTAGCGAACCTCGCGAGTGTTGGTACGGCGACCGTGGGCGTCATAGGTGGGCGGAGGGGAAGGCGACCTATATTTCAAAATATACTGATTAGATATTGTCGATCTAGAGTGTAAGGGCATATACTTACCGCTCACGCTCGGGCGGAACAAAGTCGTTAAGGCGCAGGCGGCGGTTGATCTCCTCCAAGCGATGGTGAATGGCGTAGTTGTCGAGCTGAGCCTGGGAGACGCCTTGGGCGCTAATGGCAGAGGGCAAGCCAGGAATGTCATTCTTGGCGGCATCACCCCAGCGAGATCGTTTCTTGCGCGGGGCATTCGGGTCCACTGGCGGGCGGGGCGGGCAGAAAAAAAAGAAAAGCGGGCGGGTTAGTATTAGTTCGTCAAGTCAGCGGGTCAGTGTTCAGATGAGAATGGTTGATTGAGTCGGGATATGCACGAGTCAGTAGGATATTAGTATGTGTATTAGTGATTGTACTCGGCTGGCGTGCGTGACGATTGGGGCGGTTAGTATGGGAACATACCTGGCGTGGGAGTGCTATGGCTGGATTCGTTGCTCTCCTTGCGCTCATCTTGGAAGCGGGGTCGTGGATAAGCTGAAGGCGATGGTTGAGCAAGCTGCGGCGGGTGCTGCTCTTCGACTGGCGCCGGACCAAACCGACGACGGTTCCCAAGAGGGACTATTGATCCAGATCAGCACAGAACATTATGAATGTGATCATAATCACATACTGTCGTTAGTACCAGTAAGCTGTTGGGTGGCGGGCCTCCACATATTTAGAGTCTGTGATAGATGATGGTGGGGGTTTGAGGGCAAGAGCAAGAACGACTGGATGCAGATCGACGCGCGCGGGCTGCCACGTGCGCGCGCCAAAGGGACTTACCGCCGGAACCGAGCGGCGAGCCACCCACAGCTGGCTTGACTCTTGACCACCACCACCACCACCCTTAGTCATGTCAAAACGCTTCGCAGAGCCTGGTGTGCACTGCGAAATGGAATACATCTGCACTCTGCTGATATTCATGCGTGTGAAGGTCCCTCAGCTGAGCCGGCAACGAAGCGCCGGCGGCAGGAGGACGCTGACTATATCGACATCTCCGACGACGACGGCGATGCGAACGCGCTCGTCCCGCGCGGCGCAACGATCAACTTCTCGGCCTTGACTCGCAAGCTCAACCAGAATCGTACAGCAGACGCGCAAGACGCGCTTGTAGCCTCAATATTCTCTGACCAAGATTATTCTTGGTTGCACCTTAAGCCGGACCATGCTGCTCGTCCCCTTTGGATCAGTCCGGAAGAAGAAGGTCGCATCATATTGGAAGCATTCAGTCCGATTGCAGAACAAGCGCAAGACTTCTTGGTAGCTATCAGTGAACCGGTGTCCAGGTGCGCCACCCGTGTGGCACTGAGTAAGGACGCGAACGCTGAGAGATATTCGTCTCAAGGCCAAATTTCATACACGAGTACAAGCTCACACCGTACTCCTTATACGCCGCTGTATCCGTCGGGCTTCAAACCGAGGATATAATATCCGTTCGTTTGCGGATCCTCTTGTCTATCTTGCTTTATGGCTGATCTGCGTGTGCATCACCGCAGGTTTTGAACCGACTTTCCAAGGTACGTGCATGCATGATATGTCTTATGACAGCGCATACAAACAACTTTCCAGGTTCCCGTCCCAGATTCCATCTCCGCTCTCATCCGCGAGCGCACGCTGTCTTACGGCAAAGTCAAGCTTGTTCTAAAACACAATAAGTACTTCGTTGAGAGTACGCATCCCGAAATGCTCCAGATTCTCCTCAAAGACTCCACTATCCGCGACGCACGGGTGGTCTCTACCGTCGATACCAATAGCAATAAGGTCGCGACGTTCACGACCGCGAAGGCGCCTACCAGGGCAGGACTGGTCATACCAGGCACGGAAGAGGCGAAGAAGGGCAAGGATGATCCGACGAAGGCGACTGCCGGTGGAGACGAGGCGCTGTTCTCGAGCGTCGTTGGCGTGGAGGGAGACGAGATCGAAGAGGACGATGATAATGTGCACGCATTCGAGATTGACGACGCCAAGATCGACGTGAGCTACACAACAGACTTCTCCTTGAGGCAATACTGATCAGTTTGGGTGATTGAATAGGCCGTGAAGAAGCGTTGTAACGAGCTCGAGTACCCTATGCTTGAAGAGTACGACTTCCGCAATGACACGGTGAACGCGAACCTGGAGATCGACTTAAAGCCTGCGACGGTCATCCGGCCGTACCAGGAGACATCGCTCTCCAAGATGTTCGGTAATGGGCGTGCGCGTTCCGGAATTATTGTCTTGCCATGTGGCGCCGGAAAGACGCTCGTCGGCATTACCGCCGCGTGCACGATCAAGAAGAGTTGTCTGGTACTTGCTACTTCGTCGTATGTGTCATTCCTCCTCGACATGGCGAACCTATCACTGATCCATATCTTCTATGCGCAGTGTTTCCGTCATGCAGTGGAAACAGCAGTTTATGCAATGGTCCAACATCAATGAGAAGCAGATCGCCGTTTTCACCGCCGAGTCCAAGGAGAAGTTCGTAGGAGAAAGCGGTATCGTCGTCAGCACCTACTCCATGGTACTGTGATCCCATCTTCTTCACTACGCGCCACAACTCTCACCGTCCTGTTTGCAGGTCGCCAACACACACAACCGCGCGCACTCAACGCAGAAGATGATGGACTTCTTGACGAGCCGCGAGTGGGGCTTTATTCTTCTTGATGAGGTGCACGTTGTCCCCGCTGCGATGTTCCGAAGGGTTGTTACGACCATCAAGGCGCATGCCAAGTTAGGACTGACCGGTACGCAAATTCGAAACCTCCTATGAGATTTGTCGCTGATGTTGCTGTGCAGCTACGCTTGTGCGCGAGGACGACAAGATCACAGATCTGAACTACATGATTGGGCCCAAGCTTTACGAGGCGAACTGGATGGATCTTGCCGCCAAAGGCCACATCGCGAACGTGCAGTGCGCCGAGGTTTGGTGCCCGATGTCGCCCGAGTTCTACGGCGAATACCTGCGCGAGCAAAGTCGACGAAGGACGCTGCTCTACAGTATGAACCCGAAGAAGTTTCAGGCGTGCCAGTTTCTCATCAAGTACCACGAGGATCGAGGAGACAAGATCATCGTATTCTCGGACAATGTGTTCGCCCTCGAGGTGAGTTTCCTTTCCGCTCTTTGCTCTTCCTGTTTCGTTGCCTTGCTTCATTCCCTTTCCTTCTGTGCCGTTCTCTGTTCCCATACGGTGGGGCTGCTCGGGCTCTCGCTCTGTCCGACCTCGGCGGAGGCCCCGGTCGTCTGATATACGACCGCCTTGAACTCGACCGAATGCGGCGTTCGACCGCGACAGGTGGATGAAGTGTATAACGGCGGCACTCGGCACTTCATGGCCAAGAAGCCAAGCATACTTCTCCAACACCGCGCCGTTACACAATGTATACGCCGGATGCGTTCTATATGCGTCCAGTTACAGCACTACGAATACGTGTATTTGGAGGCGTTTCGAGCGCCCGCCAACATCCGGCGCCTCGCCTGCGGAGCTCACGCCTCCATGTGTACTTGGAAACTCTCTTTGACATCGTTCATGATGGACATCCGCGTGTTTGGCGCGGTGGGACGCGTCTATGGCCCGGAGCCCACAAGGATGGACGAGCTGCGGACGTTGCCGGACTCCGCGTACGGAGAGTCGCAGAAGCATGCTTGCAACCGCATGCTCTTGCGAACGCGCAGAGATAAAATATGGATCCTCGACTGCACCCGACCACGACTGGCTATGGGCGACATACGTTCCCAATGACCACGCACGGCAGCGCCACCCCCGTATACAGAGCAGACCTCTACTGCGCAGGGAGGGTGGGAGAACTTACTAAGACATCGCGTTGGTTCGACCCTCGTTCGTGTTCATGGAGTTCAGTCTCCTGTAACGAAATGAGGACCTCTCGTTGTATTGACGGGGACCTCTTCCACGTTGTCGTGGACCCTTCCAGCGTTGTCATGGACCTTCGTTTGGGTCGCGCTGGACCTCTTCAGCATCGCCATGGACCTTCTAGCCTCGCCCTGAGCGCGCCTCCTTGCGCCGCCCCATATTTTGGGGAGCACGACGGTGCCGACACTATGAATCAAATGGGGGGGCCAGCCACTACGTGTTTTCCCTTCGTATCTGGCGGGTCTTTTCCCGCCCGCGCGCTCCGTCGTGTCCTATGGGAGAAGCAAAGGCATGCTCGTGCTGCCTACAAGTTGGGATGGACACTGATGGACCAAGCATGGGTGCATTGATGGTTGTGCGGCTGTGGCGACGCCCATGCATGGACAGACGCGGACCCATATGGCACACCGGCACTGCGCGCACTGCGGCACTTTGTCACGCTGTGTTCCGGCGCCTCTTAACCGGATGCCGGCGCCTCTGCCCTTCAGAGTGTATACGGTTGTGCACGATTGAGAGAAGTGCTGAGGAGCGATGAGAGGCTACGTTTACGGTGTGACGTGGGTTACGCGCTTGTGGCTGGCCGCGACTCCAGAGGAACACAAAGCTCTCGCACGCCCAACGATGTTCGAGGCTAGGGCCGGTCGATCGTGAGGGATAGGCTGTCCATTAGTGATGGATGACGGGGTTCCTTTGGGGGCCTTACAACGACACCGTTCCCATTGCTTGAAGCAGGGGTCGACAGGCGTCGAGGACGCACACTACCCTGACGCCCGAGATCGTCGAGCTTCTTTGGGGTTGAATGGGACTCATGGGACGGAAGGAGTGCGGTACCACCGTATACTCCTTTTGGACGGTGCCCTTCACCTTTGTGTGTCAATATTGTGATTGCCTGTCGGGCACCACAAATTCAATGGGCAGCGAGATGGAGCCCGGCGGCATGCTGTTTGTTATTCCTCAGCGCATTTACGCACAATCTGTCCCCTATCTCATGACTGGCACGATCAAGGATGCGCGCTAACTGTCTTCTTCTCATAGTCGTACGCCAAGAAACTCAAAAAGCCTTACATCCACGGCGGCACCGGCCAACAGGAACGTATGCGAATCTTACAGCATTTCCAGCATAGTCCAGAGGTCAACACAATCTTCCTGTCTAAGGTGAGCCTCCAACCTCCCCGCGCTCTCGCGACCTGTCGCATCTTAATCATACTGACTGTGCATCTCATTCCACTCTATCCCGCGCGCATACTATGCATCGCCCCGCCTTCCATTTCACTTCCTCGTGCTATCGATCTCGTGAACCAAATCGTCGCGTGGTACTAACTTGGTCATATTCGTTGTTTGAACTGTCTACCCGGCCTTCCACGCCTTTGGACAACAATTGCGGCTTCTCGGTATCTCGGACGTTCGTTCTCCCGCCGCTACCTTTTACTGTCTTCTACCACCGTCGATCACCTCTCTTTCGGCGCTGCGTTGTCGACTTGACCGCCTTCACAATCACCGTCGACTTTCTCGCAAATTTGCCTCTCAACACTCACGCGGTCAATCGCACGCTAACCTCTCCGCTCTCGCCGCTCGCTTCCGCCTCGGCTCACCGCGCACGTACCCGCTCACACCTCCCTCCGTCTTCACAACTTTTCCTTCATCTTCACGATCTTCGCCGTCCGACACTCGCTCGACAACTGCTAGGTCGGAGACACGTCGATCGACCTACCGGAGGCGACGTGCCTAATCCAAATCAGTTCGCACTTCGGCTCGCGCAGGCAGGAAGCGCAGAGGCTGGGCCGCATTCTGCGTGCTAAGCGGCGTAATGATGAGGGATTCAACGCATTCTTCTATTCTTTGGTATCAAAGGTGCGTTCCCAAACTCTTTCCCGTTTTGTCTGTTTCGTGCCTCGTCCCGCCCTCTCTTTTACTCTCGAGAAGTGTGGCGAGTTGACCCTGGGTGGTGCGCGAGTGCGTTGGTGGTGCACGGGTCTAGATCTCGGCCACGTCGGACTGTGCGCAATAATGGGGTTGTGGCGACGTGAGGGCGGTTTGTGGTACATGTTGTGGGTTGCGGCTTGTTTGAATTGTGTGGCCCCATGAATTTGGGTGCAAAGTGTGTGCCACCAACTAGCCTCGAGGCGCATGTATTCGTGACCATTCAGTGCTGCGCGCGGCGTGACTCATCGGTTGCCCTGCTTTGTCGAGGGGCCGTGGCTCTCTGTATCACAGATTGAGTCCAGAGGTCTAGATGTGGAGTGCGTCGGCCGGGCGCTAGAAACGGGATTCAATAGCTTCGCGCTTGTTGAGTTCCCTTCGATGGAGGCGGCGGCGTGTGCCCTCGACGTCAGTCCAACAGACTTTTAGGCTCGAGCGCTTGTCTAAGCGCCGAGTGCCTATGCGCCGCAGAGTCGAGGTTTAGACTTGCCTGTCTCTAGATTTGTGCAGTATACCTGCGGCTGTCAGACGCTCAATGGCTCTGCGGCGCCGCCGTCGAGTGGACTCCGCGGAGCTTCCCGCGGTCTGATGATTCACACTCCGCTAAACGTGCCGGTCGCGTGTTGAGCATATCCGCCTTTGCGCGCCCGCTTTGTTTCTAGCATTCCAGCATATGCACAAAGCACCCCGTTTCGAGCTCGAATACGCTTGACTTATTTCAGCGATACTTTGAACACCGCTACGCGCGTTGGCCTCGTGTTTATAGCCATCTGATTTTCCATGTCCTGATCTCGACGTCTTCCATTTCCGCCACGATAACGTGTATCTATTTGGTTTCATTAACTGATTTGTGTATTCAAAGGACACGCAAGAGATGTTCTACAGCACGAAACGACAACAGTTCTTGATCGACCAAGGATACGCTTTCAAGGTCATCACGCATTTGGATGGACTCGAACAGATGCCTGGTCTTGTGTACGCTACTCCCGGTGAGTAAACCCCCATTGGACATCACATACGTCCGTTTGCTGACTGGCTTTGCTTCCTTTCCTGTGGCATATCTTATTTCCGTACGCTTCGTGCGTGTTTGCTTCCGCTCCCACGAATATTTTCACGTTCTCGTGCTCCCACAGACGAACGCATCGAGCTCTTGAACGCCGTTATGATGACGAGCGAGACCAACGCTGACCTTGGAACGGACGTGAAAGCGTCTGAAGGTGATCTCGCTGGCACAGTGACTTCCAAGGACTTCGGCACCATCCCTACCAACAACGTCTTCGGCACGGGTAAGGGCAAGGCGAAGAGGGCTGCGGGTAGCATGGCGGCGTTGAGCGGCGGACAACACATGAGCTACGTCGAACAAAACAAGAACCCGAACCGCAAGCTGGCGAAGGAGCCTCCCGCGAGGCATAAGCTGTTCGAGAAGAAGCAGAGGGAGGAGGCGGCGAGGAAGAAGGCGGCGAGAAAGGCTGGCGGAGCGTAGAATGTAGTCGGCAATCACGACGAATATGTTGTATTCTCTTTGAGTTTACGCAGTCCTTACCCACTGCGCAATCTTTCTGGACGATGCTTCAGCAGTACTTCTTCCAATCCTTGTACGGCTCGAGACCAGACCGAAACCCATTATTTCGCTATAGAAGGTCAGATCTGAGATCTGTGTGATGGGACCGGACGTCACATCGCTGGATCTGTGCCGGATCTGACCAGCGAGAGCGACACGGCCGCCATTCCCTCGGATCAGGCACGCTACGGGGGCCTTGCCAGTCAAGCGCCCACAAAAGTACTCAGAGTGAGAATTCTCGCCTCAAGCTTCTTTTGAATGAATGGAGTCAGTCGAAACGCGGTTTACGCGCGGTTTGCTGTGCAAGAGTGCGTAAGAGAGTTGAGCTTGGTTACTTGTGGCACTTGTTTTGTGTTTGTTACTGTCCGTTACGGGGCGGGTGCCGAGCCGCGTGGAGGGGTCGATCGGGGGCAAGCACGGGCTCTTAAAACGGCCTGTGCGGCGATCAGCGCCGAAGGTCATCCCGCCCTCCTTGACTTCTCGTCTTCCTTTTCCATACGTACATGTCAAGCAGCGAGCCACCTTCACAGCCGCCTCCTCAGCCTTCGCAAGCTCATGCTAAGCGCGGACGCAAGCGCAACGACAATCTTCCACCAAATCGTGCGCGCGATGTCCAGCGCGCATTCCGAGCGCGTAGAGCTGCACATCTCGAGGTCCGTATCGGGTTACATGCGCATTTAGTCGAGATCAAGCAATGCTGAGACGGTGTTTATCACTGTAGGCTCTCGAGGCCAGGGTGCAAGAGCTCGAGGACGAGAACGCACAGTTTCGCGTCGCGCTGAATCTTCCGCCCGCGAATCGGCCGCCGCTAGGCAAAGGGCCAACGGGCAAGGACAAGCCGAAGCAACTGCCGACATCGCTCGCCACCTCGTCTACGGCAGTTGCCGGCGCCGCATCATCATCGCGCTCGCCCAGCAGACCACTGGATCTAGACATGGACCGTAGTACGGGTTCACCTGCGTCTATGCGGACTGCAAGTCTTTCGCCTTCAATCGGCGCGCCCGTAGGTTCGCAGTGGAGTCAGGATCAACAGCAGGCGCAACAAGCTCAGCAAATACTGCCGCCCTATCATGGCGCATATTCCTCGCCTACCACTACCCAACCTCCGCGTCCGATGAGCGCACAGGCGCCCCAGCAGCATCAACAGCAGATGTACATTTCGAGTGGTGCACCGGCCGTAGAGTATTACACTCCGCCTCCTCCGCCGTCTCAGCCAGTCCGACATCCGCAGCCACAGGAGGCTTACTACGACTACTATCCTCCGCCGCAAGCACCTCCTCCTCGCGCGCCTGAACCTTCGCCACATCAGCAACAGTTCTATGCTGTGACACAACATCAACCTATCCCGCCCCAACCTCAACAGCATCAGCAGCCGAGGATGCAGTACTTTCCGCCGCCGCAAGCTGACCCCATGTCACGTTTCCATCGTCTCTCGCCGCCTCGCGGGCCGTACGGCGATGAGGCACAGTAACTCCTTTCGTCTTTCTCCGAGATTGCATTGCTCTTGCTCTTTCCGAGCTAAGCTCAGTCCCCACATTTCTTGGCCCCTTCAACACGCCGTCCATATCCTATCTTGTGCGAATCGAAAGTGTATGTATCGATATCATTCCCATCGGTTCTCCCAGTCTGCCACGCGTAGCTGTTGCTGTGTATCACTCATATCCGCATGTTCACTCACACAATCCACCATCTTGACCCGACCACACCCGCCCGCGTCCATACGTTATTCTTGTCTATCTCCACCTCCACCCAATCCGTATTCGTGCTACTCCTGCGCCCGTCGGACATCTTGCTCCGTCCCCGTGCTGTTAATGTCATCTTGCTCTCATCCAGTTCCCGTATACACGCATCTTGGTCATCCCATTTACATACTACATACCTTACAGCCTACTCTAATCCCGTACATTGTCGGAATGCCACTGACTCATCTAGTCCTGCGCTTGACGACGATCGATCTCTGCGCTAGCACAGCTTCCAGGCTTCAATGGCACGAGCATGCAGCTGGGCCGGAGTAGTATGCTTCGCGATCACGCTGCAAGGAATCTGGGTTGGCCGTATCCGCGCGGAGATCGTCGTTCTTAGGCAACCGACGAACGGCGATCTCCCTTTGGCTTTCTGGCTCTTCGGTCGTCTCCTTAGCGCTGTTCGTCACAATAACTTGGGAACCTACGACTGCTTGGGTGTGCGGCTATATGCGCTTAGCAGGTGGTCGATGCGCCACGATGCTTCTTCGTACGGGTGCTTTCGGCGGATGTATACTCGTGCTTCTCGCTGGGAGGTGCATGGTTCGCGCGAGGTTCATTCCAGTCTCAGCTGGCAGCAGCCTGTATGCTGCGCACTACGGCTGTTGCTGTCTTGAATCCGGTACAGCCGAGACACACTTGGCCTGCTCTTGTGATTATGCAGGCTCTCAGCTGTTCAGTAAGATCTGTAACCCTTGCCCGCCATAATCTCGGGTATATCTCTTGACCCCGGAGGGTCGCGACTGCGGCTATCAACGATACCGCCGTCAACATCGCCCTCTTGTTGAGGCCTAATGGTATTATTGTCAATGTATGGACCGCCACGTACAGTGGTCATTGATAGGTTGTATGGTGTTGCTCACGCCAGACGTAGTGCATACGATGCAGCACTTCTACCAATTGACACTGCTGCAAGCTAAGGACCTTTGCACTTGTTCGCTAATAGATCGTGCGACAACACCAACTCCGACGTCGCTCGCCTCTTATTCACACGGTTTTTCGTGCGTGGCTCCCAGGATGTATGCGCGGTATATACTACGGATTATTGTTCCGAGCTGCATCGCGTACTGATCCTGTAGCATTCAGTTGCTTCACGTCCATGAAACGCCAGGGATCCCGTCATTCAGACAGGGAAAGCATAGCATATAAAATCGAAGATCTGTCCATCGATACCCGCGCAAACAGCGATTTTATGAATGGTGCACGGCACTGGGCACTGTCCAGACCATCTCTCGCAGCAGGTTTCTCTTCGCCATGGCGTCGTCGATGACGAAGAAGGACCTCAAGAAACTTGCCCGAACATCGCTGTGTTCGCGTTCAGCCACACCCGATATTTTGATGCGACGGACACATGCCCTTCGCGAGCTTATTTTTGATGGCGCATCATCCGCGTCGAAGCGCTCATCGCCCTTGCGGTCCGAGGCCACAGAACAAAATTGCGGATGACGACGCGAAACAGATCGGAGGCACCGACGCACGACGCGCTGGCCGAATCAGGCTCGCGCCATCACGAAACGAGGTATGAACATATCGAAAGCATACAGGAAAGCGTGTGAGTAATACGTGAGCAGAGCGTAAGATATATGGGGAACAAAGCAAGAAGTATATGAGCGATATTCAAGAAGCGTCCTAGGCGTCGTGGATCGGGCCATCGGGAACGACGGGCGCCGGTACGTACCCCCCTTTGCCGAGGCCACAGCGGCGGCCCACATCGAGGTAACGCCGCACGCGACGAGACGCGACGACCAAACCGATCCATCAATCCCTGACCCCGTCCTCGTTCCCATCCCAGCCACTGTGTCCGACCGTCCCGACCCTCGCACAGCGGCGCACGTTCCGCGTTGCAGAGGCGTTACGACCCACATCCTCATGAACCGCTGCATCACATCGCAGCGCTCGCAGCGCACATCCACCTGCCACCCGATGTTGACCTATGCTCTTGATGGGCCACTGAGACCCATCCTACAGTCGACGGCCGGGCATACGCGTGAGCTACGCCTCAGCTTCAGATGGTGGACCAGCAAGCTCGTCCTCAACATCTGTACTAGCCTCGGCAGTAGCAGCTTCGGCATCAGCCGCTACAGTGACCGGCTCCGCGTCGAGCCTGTCCATCTCCGCTTCATCACCCGCAGGCTCGGGCGGCGGCGTGACAGCCAGTTCCGGTGAGGGTTCACGCGGAGGCGAGGAAGGCGGAGCTGGGGGCGGAGAGGACGCTTGTGCAGAAGGCGCAGGAGCAGTGATTGCGGGCGGGTCCGGATTGGCAACACTGCACCAATCAACCTCGCCCTCGGGACCATAGCGCTCGCGTAGCCAGTTGTTGGCGGACTTGAAGTGGCCATTTCCAAGGAAGCCGCGATGGGCTGACATCGGCGACGGATGCTAGAAGCGAGAACGTATCAGGTGGACATAAGTGCAAACATCGAAGGCGTCGGGCTGAGCAGAACGTACCGCACTCTGAAGAATCAAATGCTTCTTCTGCTCGCCACTTTGTGTCAGCTTCCGGACTGAGATTGAGTCTTGACGAGGGACTCACTTTGTCAAGTTTAGCCACCCGCTCAGCAGCCCACTTTCCCCAGCACAGGAAAACAACGCCCCGGCCCTTCCCGCTCTTCTTCGCGTCTCCCAGCGATGCACCACCGTATGCGTCTACGGCCGCCACGACACGCGAAGTGAACGTCTCCCAACCCTTGTTTGCGTGGCTACCCGCTTGACCCGCGCGCACGGTCAACGCTGTGTTGAGCAACAGAACTCCTGCGTTGGCCCATGACACGAGGTTCCTATGTGAGAGCATCAGTGCCGGCGGGTCTACTTTGACGAACGCGAACAGACCCATGCTTAGGCGGTACGAATGAGGGATATTCCGCCTTGATTTCTGCATAGATCTACGTATTGAGAAGGCCGTAGGATGTTGACAGATGGTCCATCCACAGGTAGTTGTTTCATTGAAACCGTCAAGATGGACCAGCAGGAGGATAGTCGCATGTTGATAGTAGTAGCGCGGGCCACGTTGCGGCCGGAGGCGGCAGCAGGGAAGAGTGCCAAAAGCGTCGTTGAGGTCGTCATCAAAAGTTCGAGAAGGCGAAAGCGGTGAAGTGTGGGTGAATTGGCAGCACATCGCCGATTGAGCGCGCAGTGGCACGCAGATCCATACAGATCCAAGCGCCAAAGCAAAGTATGCCATGCGTATCGGGCACATGGATGCACCGATACAGAACGTAGATTGCCGGGAGCGGAAGCAGTCGAATAAGCCCATCGGGAACACGAATAGACGTGTGAGAAATAGAAGCGAACGAGTGTATTCGATGCGTCAGATAGGTGCGGATGTGAGGAAGTTCGATGAGCGCGCATGATCTACAAGAGCACAAGCGAGCGGACGTACATTGCGTAGAGATGGTGGTACGGAAACTCCCTTGGGCACGGAGAAGCAGAGACCTATGAATGGTATCATTCAGTACGCGTATCGATCAGATCTATCCCGGATTTAGACAGCGTTGCCAGGATAACTTAGGCATAAGCCCGTGAACACGTGTATAAAACGAGCGTGAAGGGTCACCAAGTTCTGGTATAGACCGGTTGCAGACGGAACGGTAGGAGCTCCGAGTACAGAGCGCCTAGTCAAGGAGATCGCAGGTCCTTGGCAAGATACACTAGAGATGTGAGAAGACGAAACGGACGTACCATGTGCTTGACCAGCACCATGGTACGGATCTTGACCGATGATCATGACTCTGACCTTGCCCAAAGGTGTAAAGTTCGACCACGAGTAGATATTCTTGGCTATACGGTCGTGTCGTCAGCCCGACGACCTCGGAAGAAGCACACATGGGCAGGCATACGCGAGGGGTAGATCTTGAGGCGTGTGTAGTCCTCGTCGGGTCCATGCACGCCCTCAGTCCACAGGAACTCCTTGAGCTGCAAGAAGTACGGCTTCTTGATCTCGTCTTTGAGGACTTTCAGCCTGTCAATCACCCCGTCGTCAGTACAACATTCTGATATCGCAAGGACGCTGACAACAGCATACCAGCTTTTGCCCATCGTCGCCACCTCCAATGCAAGAAGCCTCTTCTGGTCTGCGCTTAGCGCCGCCACATAAGCGCTCGGGTTGAACGGAATCGAATTTAGTGGTGTGCTGCCGAGCGCTTGTACGGTGTTCGTATTCTTCGCGGGCGCCACAGCGCCCGAACTACCAGCCATCCGCAATTTCTTCGCCGCAGGTTCCTTCTCAGCGCCGGCGCTCTTCTTTGGGGCGCCAAACATATCGTTAAGCGTGCGCTGGCGCTTAACACCGGCCGTGGTTGCGCCCGACGACGCGCCGGCCTTCTCCTGGGACGCAGACGGCGTTGTCGACGCATTCTCGGACTTCTGAGCGGCTGGTTTGGCGGGGTGCAGGTCCTCGTAGTAGACGATGTTGGCGGTGGACGACATGATGGCTTAAGCGAAGAAGCTGTTGGGCGCTTCCGACGCGTTGACACAAGGCCGCTGCGCGTTAATTGAGTACACGCGACGTGACTGTGTGTGACGCGACGCGTTTATTGGGTCACCGGATGTTCGACTCGGACTCGAAGGACTGTGTACGTGCAATTGGACCGTACAAGCCATACATTTGTGCATAGATAAGCATAAACAACCTATACAGTAGATATTATGTGATACGGAAGTGGCTCCAACTAGAAGTCATCCTCATGTAGGAAGAGCGTTCTCAGAATCGGTCGCGGTCTCTCTGGAACTAACGGCAAGGGTTGCGAGTCGGAAGCCGTTCCCGGATATCGAGTGCGTACGCAACTGTTTGTCAAAACATGTTGTACTTCGTCTTGTACTCCATATTGCGGACCCATCGGACTTGTCAACACAACCACTGTCGCCAAGTCATCGTTGAGTAGCCACCCGTTCACCGCACGGAGGTTAGGGTACTCCCGCCGAAGCTTGGAAAGAGCCCGCGAGGCCTCCAGGAAAATCGTTGGGGGGTCCGCTAAGCCTATGAGTCCACGCGGCGACTTGCGACTCAGATCTTGCAAACGGGCGGTAAGGTCATCCAGTCGATCGCCAGCATCCACACCCGCAATTGAGCGCATGCGCGGGAACCTGCTGATGATGTCTCCAATACTCGGCTTCCTCCCATCCCTGATCACCATCTTCGGAGCGCGAAAGCGCGGATAGTTCTTCTTTTCCTCCTTTGGGAGAGGTATACGATAAGAGGAGCCTTGAAAAGGCAGATGCATCTCTTCAAGATGAGGAAACATAGCAGCGAGAGCGGTGAGTATCGCATAGCCTTCGTTGTCGATGCCACCCAGTCTCTTGATGCTCAGCGACCTGAGCGATGGAGGGAGTGCCAAAGCGAGATCCAACCACTCCGCCGTGATGAACGAAACGTCTTCAAAAGTGACTGACTCCAGGAAACGCAGGGTCTCTCCGCTTGTGCGATGGCGGGTCACAAGTGCAGAGATATGCGCTCCTCGAATGTTGATCAGACGCTTGACGGCTGGTAGATGTGGCAGTCGCTTGGGTGTCGGCCCGACCTTGAGATGTGGGTTGCGATAACTCATCTCCGTGATGGACGGATGCCCATCGATGTTCAGTAAGGCTTCATCCATGTCGCCCAACGTGATGCGACGGAGATGTGTGAGGCGAGGCATGACGATCGATACGTCGTCGCTACGTGCAGTGAAGAATGGTACGCCCAGAACCTGTGAGCGTGCGAAATGAGCGATCCGTAACGCGGACCGGTCAGAGATGGGCATACTTCAAGTCTTGAAGAGCGTGCGAGAAGTTGGCAGAAGATACCCCAGAAGGGGTCCGCGTTTAATGTCATGTTCAGGTCTAGAGACCGCAGAGAAGACATCGCCCATAGCTGCCGAGGCATAGTATCAGTCATAGGAGGATCAGGACGATAGGTCTAGCGACTTACCGAAGACGATGGGGTTGTTAGGGGCTGTCCTTGCGCGTCGTGCAGTGCCCAGCCACCCGAGCTGAGCATGAGACCGTCTAGATTGGAATGACAAACGGCCAGTGCGAGCTCTTGATCGTCTCCGCTGAAGGTGATCCGCCTGAGCCGCCTCATAGACGAAAGGGCATTCCGGACTCTCTCGAGGTACCCCGAGTGGGAAGCGCCAGTAGTCCCTGCTCTGGACCACTGCCGCTTATACTCGTCGTCGTAACCGGACACATAGAGTAGACGAGACTCAGGGTGCACCCTCCGGAAGGCGTGTACCCGAGGGACAACTAGATCCCGCGGAGTACTCACGAGCGTCAGCTCGCGCACCCTATTCGCGAGGTCGGGAGAAGATGAGGTATGTTCGAAGAACGGCCGGAAGTAGATGGATACAACGATGCGGCGATACGGCAGGTGAGAGGGGACGATGAGGTTGTAAAGCCGAGAGCAAGTCAGCGCGAGGGATAGTAGGTCCTCGCGCCAGTCAATCTCGTCTATGATGGGCATGAGGACCTCAAGAGGTTGCTGGTTGAGTATCGGCATCCTGCGGCGTGTTGACGGCACGGAAGACGGTGTGCGGTGAGAGTCCTCTCAGGTTGTTGCCCTCTGGCTGTTCATCGTCGCCTCCTCCCATGCTTGGTGCATCCGATAACGTTTCCTTGCTACAGGAAATCATACATCGCGATTCACAGCCTTGAGCGCTGGACGCTTAGTCACGGTGATAGCACGGCTGGCGCTGAAGATCCGCCACGATCCTTCATCCAAACGGTAGGCATGCTTCCCGAGATGCAAGTTGTCGAGGAGCTTGTGCGACATGGTAATGCGAATACGATGCTGGTGGTTCAGGAAGAGGTGCTTGATCTACTGACTGCGAGCCCGCGTGATTCTGCGGGACAGCGCCTTGCTGGTTCGGCCGAGATCGCCGAGACCGCCCTGCCCGACCCGCCAACTCCCAGCATCAGGAGCACGACGGATCTTCGAACTTCACACTGAGCGCTTGATTAAGATGCAAGTGCATGCACTCCGCATACGCAGAAAAGGCAGCTACCGCAGTGGATCGAGGTATAGTAGGGTAAACATGCGAGACATGTACTCAGTAATATTAATCTCCGAAATCCCGATACGTCGTCCGCGCAATGGGTCGCGGCCGCTTCGGTACCAGAGACAAAGGCTGCGTGTCCAATGATGAACCCACATATCCAATATGTAGACGGTCTCGTGTCAGAATAAGACGTGTGCTGGGGAGGGGGGCCAAAGCGTGAGGAGTGGGGAAGGAGAACACGGCCTCTTGTGCTAGGTCGGACTCGAGGGACCATCCATTGACATCGCGCAGGCGAGGTTGCATCTGCTTCAGCCCCCGAAGCAGATGAGAGACTGCCTTGAACGTTTGGAAGGTGACCGTGTGATCCATGACATTCCCCGCTGCTTCGCTGAACGCCAGCATCTCCATGACGATTGCCTCCAACTTGGGATCGACGTACACACCCGCAAGGGAATGTATGTGGGGGAATCGCCAAGTGACCTCGTTGAGACGCGGCCTGAGCGTTTTCAGTATCGTCTCCGGTGCGCGACCTCTGGGGTACTTGCGCTTCTCTTCAGCCGCGATCGGAACTCGAAGAAGCATGCCTTCCGACGGTAGACGGAGCTCCTCGAGAAGTGGAAACGCTGCCGACAGCGCATCGATCGTATCGCGTACCCTTCATGGCGAGCCTTGTCCATGCTTCGGATATGCAGAGCGCGAAGACAGGGCAACACGGGCGAAAGATCAGCCCAGTCCCATTCGTGTAAGGTAATCAGGACATTGTCGAAAGTGAGGTGACTGAGGACAGGCATAGTATCGCCATCTCTCCGGCAGCGCCGCAAAACTTCCAGGATGTGGGATTCTCTGATGTTAAGCATACGCTTAAGGGCTGGAAGTCGAGGTAAGGGAGTTGATACATCCGCGGTAAAGAGACCCCTGCAACACAACTCGACGACAGATGGATGTCTGTCCATATTGAGCAGGGCTGTATCGATCTTGGAGAGCATGACGCGTCTGAGACAGGCCAGCCAAGGCATAGGCTTGAGAGATCCATCTCTGGAGTCAATGGAGGGTACACCGAGAACCTGAGCGAACTATCAGTGTCAGCTTTGATCCTTGCCAGATGAATGAACACGAACCTCTATGCGTGGAGAACGAGTCAGGGCGGTGCAGAAGGCATCCCACTGCCAAACACCCACTAGCTCGACGTCCAGATCCAAAGAGCGCAGACCCGACATGCTCCAGAACTGAAACGATAAGCACGTTAGCTCCGATATGAAATCGATTGTCCTCCCTAGGCGTACATATGAGGTAGGGGCAGGCCATGGTGCGCCTTCCGAGCTCTTCAGCTGTTTCAATCTTGACTGTACAGCGACGTCTTCGAGATAGGGATGGTGAACGGCCAGGATGCGCTCAAAGGGGATCACGCAGCGAAACACATCTTGGCGGAGAGTATACGGATGTGTGTCGTCGAGATGGAATCTAAGTGTGCGCAGTCGAGGTAGGCAAGCTAGCGCATCATCAAGCTTTTCGATGAGCCCTAGTGGCCGCCACGGTCCTGTGGTATCGTCCAGTCGAGCGCGCTTGTACTCGTCGTTGTGGTGGGAGGCAAAGAGCAACCGCGACTCGGGATATTCTCTCCGAAATGCGTGGACTCGAGGGATCTCGAAGGCCGCGTCTGTGCTCACAAGCGTTAGCTCGCGCACTCTTGCCGCGAGGTCGGGGCGGGTCGCGATGTGCTCGAAGAATGGTCCAAAAAATATGGAAATGATAACCCGACGATACTGGAGGTGCGTGGGTATGATGATCCTGGAAAGGCGCGTGCACGTCAGCGCCAGGGAAAGTAAGTCCTCGCGCCAGTCTATCTCGTTCACTATGTGCTCCAGGATGTCGAAGGGTTGCCGACAGAGGGAGGACATGACTGCGGGATGGCTGGAGAGAGGTAGGTAACACGGAGTCCCTCCCGCTTGAAGTCCGCACTGACAGAAGGCAACACCGGTCGGGATGATGTGTGCGCCCCGTTCGCTGGTGGCCTGTGAACCCGAAGCATGAGAGTTCACAACTATGATGCGCGCTCATGGTTGCATCGAACAGTTTGTAAGGTGCGACGGTCTGCCGCATATCGCTATGCGGGTCATATCAATTGGATGTGGATGATGATGGTGGATGATGATGGTGGATAGAGGGCCGTCGTGCGCCGCCGCGGCGTTCATGGCTTCACTGGCACGGACCGGCGTTCCCGGAGACGCGGCCTAGCGGGGCATGCAGTGGCAACGTCCAACATCTTTCGGGTCAAATCAGTCAAAGAGGATTGTACAAGCGCTGTCATACAATGGATCGCGGTGAGATGGAAGCTGAGTACAGTATAATTACGTCAATAGTCCCATCAATCGTGTACAGTACGTAGTAAGTTATGATAAGTTATGATATCGTCATGCATGATGCTCTGTACCGGACCTGATTCTTCAGGCTTGGGGAGGAGCATCGGCGTGGAAGAACTCTGTGACACCTGGAATCACGACGTTCGGGCTTGGGAAAGTGACGCCCGCGCCAGTACGGAAGAAGGTGCCTGCAACAGGCGCGTCCAGTCCAACAGCAGTAGCGAAGGCATCCAGGTCGAATGCCGTGCGGTCAGCCGGGATGTTCGCAATCGCGGCGTCTTCAAAGCCTTCAGGTTGTTCGAACAGTACGAATACGTAGCGATGCGGGTCGCTCGTCGCGGGCGGGGCCGGGGAAAGGTACTCGAACAAGGCTGGGGTGGTGTTGACGAGAGGCGCGAACGTGCTCATAGGGCCGGAGACCTTCAAGTTAGGTTGGACCCAGTGCACGAAGTCCGCGAGGGACGTATTTTGAGGGGTCGGCGCATCGGGATCGAGGGCGAAGAGCACGAATGTAGACTCGAAGTAGTCGGCCGCGTCTTGCGAGAGACCAGTAGACTCGAACGTCAAGAGGAGTTCAGGCTGGGAGGCGACCTCTGCGTAGTAGAGTCAGCATCGCTGACTCAGGGTGGGTAAACATGAATACGCACGGTCCTCCGTCATGTTTAATCCTGGGTATACGAGGAATGCACCATCGCTGACAGCAGAAGGATAGGTGATGTCTAGGACTGCATCTGGAGCAAAGACCCCAAGCGGCTTCGGAATCAGACCGTTATCCTGGAACACTTGCGCGTAGCTGGCCGACGTGTGCTTGACCTGGTCATCTCCACCACAAAGGAAGAAGGTGCCAGCAACAGGAGCACCAAGACCGGTCCTCGCCATGAAGTCGACGACGTCGAAGCGAATGATACCATTTGGTAGCGGGGTGAGGATAGAAGAAGCTGTCTTGACAAAGTCATCAGGCTGTTCGAAGAGGAATGTGGTGTAGCTGTATTGCAATTAGTATACTCGGTTCACATAAGTGGTTGAAGGGGCGTACCGATGAGGAGCGTCGAGCGGGCCAGGGTACTGTTGCTCGGACAAGGCCGGTGTCGCATTGACGAATTGCCCGGTTGGTAGGATGTACAGATCCGGCAGGACCAAAAGGCGCGATTGCGGGTACGAGCGATCTTGTACGCCTGGAGAATCGGGGTCAAGGGTGATCGCAACGTATGGGATCTTGCGATTCAAGTTTTGGTCCGGAGACGCCCAGAAAGTAGGCTGCGCCGCTGCCTCTGTAATTCTCTTCAGTTCCCGTGTCTCGTGCTTAGATGTTCGAGTAAGAACATGCCTGCAATGGAGAGCGCTTGACCAGGCTGAAGGGGTGCATCGAGGGTGGGGTAGGTGGTGCGAAGAGGTGTTCCGTAGAAATAAGGAATGATATCCGGTACACTGCCGATGGCCGTGAAGATCTGAGAGTAAGCATCAACGGCGTTCTGTACGCCCGCCGTTGGCCTCGCAAAAGAAGATGAAGCAAGAGAAAGGAAAGAAAGGGCGAGGCCTCTGAGGAAGGCCATGGTTCTAAAGGAAGGAAAACTTGGATGGGTAATGGGGAATCCAGCTTGCGCATGGATCCTTTATAAGTACTCCCCTTCGTGCTTCAGGCGAATCAATTAGGGCATGAGCGAATACCAGTGCTTCGCGTAAGTTACCAAATGATCTTGATCTGAATACAGGATGATTCAAGCATCCTTGGCCGCAGACACGCAGCTCGACTCGTCGCCCGAGGGCACTGAGGCCGCCGAGCGGCTGCTGCTCCGCGCACAAGCTAGGTGTGTCGTCGTAAGAGAGTAGCGCTCGATAAATGCAGCTCTGGCCACCGATATAGCATGCGTATAGAACGGCTGGCATCTGGCGCGACAGAGCAGTGCACAGCGGGCTGCGTTGCGCTCGTATGCGCTGTCACGTAAGGCCCTTGCAGAGCATCTCCCACGCGTGCGTCGGGCGAGGGTACACGCAATATTATCACGTTGGATTGAAATTTGCGAAGGCGTCTATCCCGTACGGAGTGACGGAGGGTCGCTCGAGCACTAGATGGCCGCCGCGAAATACGCGTCAGTAAGATGGTGATGGTTGGGAAAGAGTCCGGACTTTCGAGTTCTTCGCCGATGGCGAGCCGTGAGAAGGCTCGTACGCGATCACATGAGATCCCATGCATAACGTTTCCGAAGATTGAACCCGTGTTTTGTTGTGAGTCGAAACTTAAGGATGTGCTGTGGAGAGGCGTGTACTCGTGTTCATTCAGCTGACAAAGCCCACGGGTAAAGAATTCTTGTCGGGTCCTATAACTGCTGACGCCCTTGCCATATTCATCCTTGCACGCATTTCGAACATATATACCGTTTCAAGGGCTTTGTGTCCACGTGGAATGGGACGAAAGCATCATGATAATAGTTCGTGATCTATAGCGGCGTAGAACGTCATCTAACGCCCCAAAGCTATCCCAGTACGTATCGGTAAGGCCCCAAATCTTGCAGCGTTCTTGTCCTTCGCTGATACAGTCTCGTAGTTGAAGAATTCTGGTCGACACCACTTCAACGGCGCAAATCCTCCTCTTTCCATCTTATCCAGTAGCTCCTTCTCCTCTTCTCTGGTATGTTTGAAGTCGGCACTCGTCGACTGCCACTGGATAGTTCGCCCGGCATCGCTACTGCGACGGCGCAAGAACGCGAGCAACTCGTCCCACTCCTCGAAGAATATACATCCGTCCAGCGTCACGCATTCCAGATGGGGAAAAAGGGGTCTCTCGCTAGCCTTATCCACGCGTAGAAAAGATTGGGCTGCCTGAGCGGTGTGTACTGTTAAGCGAGTGATCGCCGTGAGTGAACGACAGAGCTCCCTCCACCCTGCTTCGTCCAATCGGATATATAGCTCCAAATTACGCACACCGTCCAAAGGCGGTAAGAGCGGAAGATGGCGCAATACTGCTTTGCTCCCTCCGGCGCCACCAACATACATCTCACAGTCCAAAGTGAGTAAGACGCTTTCCGGCAGTGGCGGAGTAGAAGGATCGGCGAGCTCGACGGCGATGGCGAGGGCCGAGTTCTCAGGTTCTTGGCTGTCCATGATGTTCAAGCGTGTGAAGCGCGAGCCAGCTTTACTAGCCTCGCCGTACTGGGCGTCAAAGAAAGCGCGTAGCCGCGGATCGTGGGACGGGACCTCCCGCGCGCTCTCGTGCATCATCTCTTCGTCGTCGTATTCACCCCAAGGTTCGGAAACTAGTGTGAACTTCACGTTGGGCGGCAGTTCCAGGGATTCGATAAAGGAGAGTGCCTGCGGCAGTTCGTCGTGAAGGTACAACGACTTGAGATTCGGCAGAAAGGCTCTGGTGGTATGTGGACCCCTCGGGTTATCCAGTGCGTCGAGGTCCTCGGGTTCGTATATCGGTGAGGTGACATCGAGATGTTCGAGAGTAGGCATCTGGCGAATGATTTCCACAAGAGGGCTCACGAGCCGTTCCGAATCGTCCGGGGACCCGACGAATGCCTTGGTCAAGGTGAGGGATGTGAGCGGCGAATGGAAGAGGCGCATGTGGCGGTTGGTCTCAAAGTTCTGAAGAGAGAGGATGCGAAGCGCTTTCGGAGCAGGTATGAAAGCTCCCGGGTTGTCGGGATTGAACGTAGCAAAGCCCTGTCTGAACATTGTCGTCGCGCACTTCTCGCCGGCGGTGAAGAGGATGGACAGCGCATCGGCATTCACGGGACCGCATATGTCCAACTCGCGCACGCGGTCTAAAGCCTTGATAGCGCGTGTTGCTGCACGAAAGTGAGGCGCAGATTTCGCGCCGTCGTCGATGGGGCAGCGCTGGGCGAATGGATCGAAGGATAGATGCAACGGGGAACGACTAGAGTACTTGATGTACAACTGCGTCCATTTCAAGTTGTCGACCAGGATCTCTGTCCACAGGTAGCCGTGCGTGTGGGTGAAATGACGCCAAGCCTGGCATACGTGAGAGAGACACAGCATGGTCGGCCATGGGCGGTCAATGTCCCTAACATATGACCTGACCCACCACGGCGTGCGCGACGCGTCGGTGTCGAAGTATTTGCAGTATGTGAAGATTTCCAGAAGGATTTCGGCCGGCAAACGTTTGACAAAGCACAGAGCTGGGTCAACAGCGTGTTTGACAGGGAGATTTCGCTTCGCCGCTGGCTTCGTCGCAGCCTTCTTCGCCCGTGGTTTCTTCTTCAGGGGAGGAAGCTCGGCCATGAACGTCTTATCTCTCAGTCTGCAAAGTCCGAGAACAGCGGTGTCGGTCTAGCACAGTGGACAGATGAGATGCGTAGGGCTGATGTAGGTGGTGGTCGAGGTTCAAGCGACGCTTCATCACCCTCATTCCATCTGGGCGCCTTTTTGTCCGGACTCATGAAACGCGATCACCTGAGTTTTTGAGGTGACTGGGACAATCAACCACATGGGCTGGCCCCACCTCATTGCTACTAATGCCTTACGGTACAGAAGCTATTCTCCAGAGTATATATTCTCATATCCACATTACAAAGCAAGCCATAAATACATAACTGTGTACACCCCATAGCCTACCCTTCACTCAATCTTGAGGACTTAAACGCCGGAAAGCATCCATCGGGTTCCCACGTTCTTTGGAGAAGACTCGTACTGGAAGCCTCTGGGTCGACACCACTTCACGGGCATAAATCCGTCATACGTCATATCAAGAAGCAACTTTCTCTCCTCCTCCTCCGTCTGCGGAAAATCGGCTACCAGAGCCTGCCATTGGACAAGAGTCCCGATAGGGTTAGACTTCGAAGGTTCTCCACGACGGCGGAGAAACTCGCGGAATTCGTCCCACTGTGTGAAGGCGTAACAGCCATCCAGTGTTATAAGCTCCAAACGAGGGAATAGCGGTTCGACCCCAGCTGCATCGGTGCGTAGGAATGATAGAAACGCCTCTCCGAGGTGCACGGTCAGGTGAGTAACCGACGCGAATGGTGCGCGCATGCCCTCCCAGCTCTCCTCGTCCGTATCGACGTATATCTCCAGATTACGTACACCGTCAACCGGAGGGAGCGATGGTATCAAACGAAGGAGAGCCTTGACTCCTGGCGCGCTGCCCTGGAGGTACATCTCGCAGTCTACGGTGAGAAGAAGACTGTCAGGTAACTGTGGCGTGGAGGGATCAAGAAGCTCAATGGTAACAGATGAAGTGTTGATCTCCGCCTCTTGGGAGTCCATAATATTCAATCGAGTGAACCGTGCGCCCTGGTTGCTCGATTCGGCGTATTGGACATGAAGAATGTCTCGTAGACGTGCATCATAGGAAGGTATCTGCCACGCGCTCTCGTGTATTATCTCCTCTCTGTCATACTCTCCCCACGCCTCAGAGACGACTGATAGCTTCACATTTGGCGGTAGGGTGAGTGATTCGATGAGGGATAGCGCCTGCGGCAGTTCGTCGTGAACATGAAGAGTCTCCAAGTGAGGTAAGGATGCCTTCGTAGGATGTGGACCTCTCGCATCTACTAAGTGATGGAAGTCCTCATCCTCATTGGTGGATAACGTCACCACGAGATGTTCTAGGGTGGGTATGCGGCCGAGTATCTCCACCACGGGGCTGACAAGTCGTTCATCGATGTGAGGTCCGGGGTAACCACAGTACGTCCTCGACAACGAGAGACTTGTCAACGGTGCATGGAAGAGACGCATGCGGGAATTTGTCCAGAAGTCCTTGAGGCTCAGAATGCGCAGGGAAGGTGGGGTACAGATGAAATCTTCAGGTTTGATCATGACCATGTCACCGTTGAATACCATTAACGCGTGCTCTACCCCAGCTGTGAACAGAGTCGACAACTCCTCGGTGTTCAAAGGACCGCATATGTCGAGTTCGCGTACGCGACCAAGGGCGTCTAGGGTGCATAGAGCAGCGTCGAAGTAAGACTCAGACTGGACATTGCCCGACCAACCGCGACGATCAGCGAAGGGTTCGAAGGATAGATGTAAGGGCGCGTCACGCGAGCGTTCGATGTACAAATCGGTCCACCGCTCGTTATCAACCAAGATTTCGGTCCACAACGCGCCGTGCGAGTTTGTGACGTGTCGCCAGTCTCTGCATGCGTGCGAGAGAGCAAGTACGGTAGGCCATGGGCGATTGAAATCCCTCATGTGAACGTCCGCCCACCAGGGCCATCTCCGACTGTCGGTGTCGAAGTATTTGCAGTAGGTGAATATGTGTAGAAGGAGCTCGGGCGGTAGACGCCCGATGAAGCATAGCGAAGGGTCAATCGGGCGTGAGAACAAGGCGGCGGCTTTGGCGGGCTGCTCATCGGCGGGCACGTCGCGCAATATGTCCTTCAGGCGGTTGACTGTGTCGAGTATAGACTGATCGTTTTCTATGTTTGACATTGCTTGTCACTGTAGTACAAGTAGATCAGGTAGGGTAGTACTGAAGGGGGGGCGTTCAAGCTGGGTGAGTGCGGCTTGGAGGATGGTGGCTCTGGCTGATGGTGGTACGACCTCAAGTGCTTTGCCGCGCGCATGCGTCGTGGACGCGCGCCACTCACACCCTCGGGTTAGCTTCGGTAATACTTCCCTTTCCACCCTCCGAGTGCCCTCTCGAAATCCGACCGTACTTCGGAGACAGCACTGACAAAACAGAGTTATACAAGAGTTACATCCATTTGACAAGAAATACAGTGTCGTACAAACAAACTCGACCACATCTGTTCATCTACTCAGCCTTCGACTTCACCGCCAACGCGCCCTCCCCATACACAAGCTGCTCGACCCTCGTCTTCTCCTTCTCCCCACCAATCAGCCCCAGCAACAGCCCATGCACGGGCGTCAAAAACGGCACAAACTTGGCGACGCGCTTCTTGTACGCGCCATACGCTTCCGGGTACTTCGACATCGAGATGCTCTCGGTGAAGAGGGTGGATGAGTAGAAGAGGATGCAGAGAGAGATGCAGGGTGACAGACGCGCGAGGGTACGGATCGTGTGATCATAGTCGGTCACGAGCGACGAGTCTTTGTCTTCGGGTGCCAACAGGGGAACCAGGTTCAAGATGCACTAAACGCGTGCGTGAGTTACACCTTCGACAACTGAAGCCACCAGAACGACATACCCAGAACGACTGCTCAGCAAAGAAGTTCGGATGCCGACTCCACGCCCACAGTCCGCGTGTACAGAAGCCTCGAGCACGATCAGCCGTCGTCCACGCTAGACGCGCACCCGGCCAATGCTCCTCCGGCTTGTAATTGCCGTGCTTCCATGCGTGGAAAGCGAACTGTTGGTTGTCAGCGGTGAACTCCCACAGGAGGTCGTATACCGCTAAGCAGCCGAGGAGGTAGTCGGAGACGCGGAGGGAGACTGGGCCTTGACGGATGGCGGTGAGGGTTGGGAGGGCGATGAGCATTAGGAGAATGTTCTGGATCGCAGCTATACAAGACTCAGCGAGAGCAAGCCAGTTGCAGAGTGTGCATCGGCATACCAATGAATACGAGGTTTGTGACCTGGAACAGCCACGCGGGTATCTTCTGCCGGAGTACAGCCCAGCGGTAATCCTCGTCAGACCTGCAGGGCGTGAGTAAGTTGAGACGAGTGTAAGAGTGTTGGTCAACGCACAAGCTGAAGAGGCCGCGTCGCCAGGTGTTGTACGAGAGCCGACACATCCAGGTCACCTGAGCTTCACAGTCAATCAATGCGACTCGGCGCGCATTTGCGAGCCACTCACGGTGAGGCCGAACATCATAAGCGCCCGAGGGTTATACTGGTCGACTATCGTAATGTGCGCGTCCGGGCCGTCCGGTACGTATGGCGACAAGTAGAAAGATCCGGGATCCTTTCGAGGCCATAGCGGTAAAAGCGCCCAATACGCAGTGTATATAGTAGGCATGAACGTCCAGATCCTGTCAACCTGGCTGACATTTCCAGTGATGAGACTCAGAACCCAGGTCGTGACCGTCGTCGCGGCGCACAGCTTTAGCGGGTACACTAAGAGCGCTGGTAGACCAGTGGGCTCTGAGATGTACGGCAAGGGAGACATGGTGGTGGTGGGAGCAGAAGCCTGCGAATGCGTGCAGCTGTTGTTGTCGTACGTGTTGCGCGCGTCATGACGGTTGTGGGGAGAGATCGAGCGCGCGGGGGGATCTTATCTCGGCTGATAACTCCGTTATCTCGAGCCACATCGCATCTCGCACTGTCCCGGTCACCGCGTTTTGCTGCTTCGGAGGACCAGTTCCTCTTCCTGCAGTCTACAATGTCTACTCTGACGTTTCTATTGAAGCTATGCGGCAACCGCTTAAGTGAGAACTGACCCCAACTTAGCCGCGAAGAACGCCTGTGGTCGCTATTAGTGCTCGATCCGAAGTTTGACGTATGTATGCTCATGCAAACGCTCGCACAGCAGCATTGCTTATTACTACACGAGAAGATACAATCAAGGGCAGAAAGTGTGCGTGTACGTCTGACCAAGAGCAGAGTTGCGATCCGCGGCATAGTCAGTAGCGTAAGTGTACACCTGAGACGCATCGCAAGGAGCCTTGGTGCACTGGACGCTTTGACCGTCAGAAGAAGCAAGCCTGTATCTCTCATTAGCCTCATAACGCTACGTGTAGAGAGAGAACGACCTACTTGGTTGGTATGTTCAACGACGCAGACACGATGCTCAGATCCCACGACGTGCGCTCACCCCCGCAGCACGAGCCGAAGTTACCATAGCCTGGATAGCAAGCGAATGAACATCGGAGCAGTAAGGCATCAGCGGGTTCAGCCCTCACCGTACTCCCCGAGAATCACGCCCGACGTGATGCCGCCATCAGTACACTTGAGGCCGCCATTGCAATGACCAGTAGCGCAGTTCGCGCCATTGCTGTCGCAGCCGGTACGACCCCAGGAGCGGATACCCTGTCGACCTGCAGTCAGCCCAACGTGAACACTGGCGATATGGTAGCGGCTCACGATGGCTGTGTCAGAGACGCCGTAGCTCGAGGTGCCGCCAGGAGCGAGCTTTGCTCCGTAGGCAATAGCCGGGTTGGGCTTCGCGGTATTATCAGTCTGCCAGCGCGTCGTCGAGCTTGAAGGGATGACATACCTTTCCGTTGGGCGCAGCGCCAACAGCAGGCCATACGGCTACGCAGTGTGAGTACGTGAGCGATTTGGAGGCAAAGAAGGACATACTGTAGGTGCAGTGATTGACGAACTTGATAGTTATAGCAGACGCAGAGCCGGCGGAGAAGGCCAAGGCGAGAACGGTGAACTTGAGCATGGCGAGTAGGGATGGAAGGTGAGCTCGAATCAGCAGTAGTTGCGATTCTGAAGGGGTAAGGGTATCTGCTCTCGCCTTTATATACCAGTCGGCATGCAACGAAACGGCGTTCTTGAGACCTATACCCTCCTTCACGGCGGCCACCGGGCGGGAATCATTCTACGACGACGCCGCAACCCGCCGTTTGAGCTATCACGAGCTGCTAGTAGAGCTCAAGTATAGGAGTTCTTTTACCATTATCGGTGACAGGGTAGGCCATGTGCACCTACAGCATTCTCCGTTAGTGACATGCGTCGGACCGCCGAGGTTGACAGCCTTGAACCTCGGACTTGGGCGGAAAGTCAGCCGCATGTGCCCAATGCATTCGCGACGGCATGAAGCTCCTCCATCAACGGCTTATACACAGAAGCCGATAGTGTATCACCGTATAGAACGCACACCATACTTCAAGATACCCGAGACATGGGTCACAAGCTAGGGTTGATTCCAGCTACATTCGTGATGGCTGAGAGCCAGAGCGGGAGACGTAGCCTTCATTGAGGGCAAGTGAGCTACCCGGCATGAGATGCCACAAATTCAAAAGGTGTATTCCAATAGAAAAGCCAGCTCTGGCAGCCGTCGTCGAACGTGTAGCGCGCGTCATGATGGTCGAGGGCAGAGATCGAGCAACGAGCGCGGCGCGCCGGGATCTTATCTCGGCTGATAAGGCCGTTATCAGACGTTACATCACATCTTACACCGTTCCGGTCACCGACCTCACCTACTCCGGACTACCACCTCCTTTTCCCTCTACTCTACCATGGCTACCATGATGTCCAGATTGAAGCTCTACGGTGACCGCTCAAGTCAAATAGCTCGAGACTTTGTCGTCAAGAGTCCGTCTTCACATTCGTGCACGCGCCGGCGCTCTGACTAACACTGCGGCCTGCAGCTATTCGCATGGACCCGGCATGGCAGCCTCCACGGACCCCTAAACTCCTATACAAGATCAACACTCCAGACGAAGCGCACCAAATAGCGACGGGATGTGATGCGGATATCGGAGGCATGTCGACTGTCAACTTCGAACTGGACTCGAAGCCGGAGGTGAACGCGGAGGTGGGAAAGCAGGCGACGGGCAAGTTCTGGGGCATGATGCGGCTTGGCGTGAAGCCTGAGCTTGCTGGACAGCTGAGGAGCGGTTACGCTGGTTTCCGGAATAAGGTGCGTCTTGTACTCCTGTGCGGCGCAGAAACGGCTGAGTCGCGTGCAACCTCAGTTCCGACCGACGCTCTTTGGGCAATTGACAGACGACTTGTCCGCCCATTCATATCTGGCGTTGAGGTTGCGTGCAGCTGGCCACCCACGGACACGCAACTCCTACTTCGTGAACATTCAGACCGAAAGCTCATTCAAGAATGACTTGTGGCAACACCGGCTATTCTTTAACCGCAGTGACGGCGGCTGGGAAGATGTCTTCGTATGTCGCCCACTTCTCTTATACACTGCAGAGCAGTCGGTCTGACCTTCCACAGATTCCTTTCGACGCCTTCGTCTTGACAAATACCGGCGAGATTGCCTCACAGCAGATGTCCATGCAGCGGGAGCGCGTACGATCCGTCGGTATTTCAATACTAGGCGGTAACTCTGGCGTCGAAGGACCGTATGAGCTTGGTATCGATGAGATACGCGCAGTGAATGAGGAGGATGTCACTGTACCACCACGTACGTTGGCGCTTCACATGCGATATTTGAGATACTTACGTCAGAGCAGGAACCGAAGCCCCATCTAGTCCCGTATGATCGTTGGCATGTTCTACTTATGTCCCCGTGATAATATACATTCTACTTCAAACCACCGAAGGAAGAGCAAACGCAAGACAGACGAAGATGACGACGGAAAGCGACATGATAGCCGGCATATTGTTGGTAGTAGCCGTACGGACCGTTTCCTTGAGCGGTGCGCTCGTTTCGGGGGAGGTCGGCACGATCTGCTGAAGATGGACCGTCAAAATCGGGTGTAGGCGTTGTACATGGGAAATGCGTACAAAGCGACCTTCACATGCTCCTTCGTCAGGCGTCGCCTCTTTGCAGTGAAGCAGCTTGCCCATGAACGACTGCTTTCGTTCTGCACCTGAAGGACGATTCGTCAAGACTTGGTTCTCGGTCTTTCCATGACTGAGATCAGGTCCGGCCATCAACAGGCTGTGTCCGCCGAAAGTAGGCAATTGAGTTTGGGCAGATGTCATGATGGCAGTGTTTGTGATTGCAGGATGATGTGCGAGTAACGCCCTTCTATTGGAGATGACTAGACTGGTGTCTTCCCCGGAGTATGCGATTGAAGGGCCGGAGTATGTCAAGACTATCCAAACGGCGAAAGTCAGAGCCATGGACGTGAAGTACTCAACAGGATGGTCTTCCTACCCGGTTTCAGAGCCTTGAAAAGCTCGAAGTTTTCCTGGCGGATCTCGGCTAAGAGCAAAGACGTATCGGCCTGCAGGAGAACTTCGAGTTTCTTAGACGCCTTTGCGACAGGATTCCGCCGACCAAAGACAACCGAAGCGTAATGTCCTATTCAACCCGCATCATCACACTGACATATGCGGAGGACTGTGCATGAAGAACGCACGGATGCGACTTTGACTCATCGTGTCTATGATAATTGCCAGGCATCGCAAGAGATGGACGTGTATCTTCACTACGACCTCTTCTGATGCTGGCCCGAGAGGCGCTTGCACGCGAAGACTCAAGTACGGCACGACGAGGGTCAGTCGTTCCAGAAGGTCGGCTACCATGTCGAAACGTTCGCTGACGCCTTGTGTCGCCTTCGAAGCGGTGGGGTCAGATACAGCCCGTGAACATCATTTAGCCCGGCGCACCTTGAGAAGGTAGATCAAGGCCACGAATACAGCCTGCACACCCGGCAATTGCTAACGCAAAGATCAGATCCCATACCGATGTACATAGTCAAGCATACACTCACCACAGAAACAGCATCCCGCCCCACTTCCAATGCACCAAAGTTGAACAGCGCACGGACGATCGTGCTAAGCGACGAGCGGATGGCCGTGCCCACACCGTTGCGAGAATTACGATAGATCTTGAACTCTTCAGCGACGTTGTCGATGACACGGATTACTGCGGTATAATCTCGACATCCAGAGAGTCGCCGGTAGACGTCGGATCTTGGGTCCATGAGGTCTCTGCCTACGATGCGTGGGTAGCGTGCGTGTGCTCTGGCCATGAAGTTGTAGATGACGGGTGCTGAGATGGTCTCGCGGGCGACGAGGGCATTGCCGCCTGAAGATAGGCTTGGCATAGCGGTGCCTCGAATGGCCTCGCGAGCGGGATGTGCGGGGAAAGGGATGCTCGGAGGGCGACTCCCAGTGCCAGAGGAAAGCAAGAGGACTATAGGTTCAGAGCGAGGACTGTTGTGATATGGCGGTGTTACACCGCAGAAGAAGATGCCTAACAGAAGGCGTGCTGATATGCCCACTACAAGAAGCGAATCTATGACACTTTGAGGATGGCGCGTCGAACGCCAACCGCACCTTGACTGGTAGACTGTCGTTGTGATACCGTGCGGACCAAGCTGCTGAGCTCTGAGTCTCGCAGACTGGCAGCGCATGAAAACTGGTCTGAAGGGTCTACTGCATGATAGCTCTTGCTTTGCCACCGAGCTAGCCTGGGAAGTACCCAATACAGATGCACAAGTACGTGCGTGGTTATAAGCGCTGAACGGGCCTAGAGTCCCAATACATCAGCTTCGACGAATCGCTCAGCACCGCCCGGCGCTTGATAGAAGGTGCGACTATCGTCGCTGCACATAGCTAGAGCAGGTACACCATTAATTCACGCATGCTAGTGGTCCGCTCTGAGAAGTGCGGCGCAAGAGACATGGTGGTGGTGGGAACAGAGACTGTTGCGTGCTGCAAGGTCGTGATGGATGCGGGAAGAAATCGAGCGCCCGAGGATCTTATCTTGCCTGATAACTCCGTTATAACGTTATCGGACTTTACGCAACTATTGAACTAAGTTCCCGGTTCCGGTCATCGCGCTCAGCGCGTGTATCAACTTCGTCCCAGACTGCCACCTGCCTAGCTATCTTCTGCTATGGCATAGTTTCTGCGGAGACTACTCATAGATAGGCCAGGACTAAATCGTCATGAAGAGTGTGTAGCAACATCCCCGCACTTGCACCTCTGCCCATATCCTGACCTGTAGCTATGCGCATGGACCTGGCATGGTAACCCCCACAAGACCTCCGACTCCCGTACGAACTCAATACTCCGGATGAGACGCGTCAAGAAGTGACGACGGATATCGGACGCACGTCGACCCCCAATCTCGAGTTGGACTCGAAGGTGAATATTCCGTCGGATAGAGGTCACATCTTGGACCTCTCAAGTCTGTCTCGGACTCTCATCTCAACAGCTCCAACCCTCACATTTACTTCGTAGTCAAGGTATCTCTATAAGCTCGAGAATGTCCTAGTCTGTCGATCATCAAGTTGCGGCGAGGGCCTTTCTCAAGCACAACCCCACGCTCCGTAGTGGCATGATGGACGCGTACCATGATCATCAGAGTTTCGTCGACTTCGGCAACAAAACCGAAGCCACTAGGCGGAGATGTCAATGGTGGTGACCGGTGCGTGGTCTATGGCCGTCTTCTCACAGAATTAGAGGCTGTGTGCTTATCAACTCCAGTTACTGGTACCGCCCGCGTCTAGGATAATGCACACGATCACTATTTATTGCAAAGGAAAACGGAGTACGCAGGGCCAGGCCAGGCTCCAGGAACCCTTCTCGAAGAACTAGTCGGACTACTCGCTCTCGTTAAGCCTTAATCAGACACACTGAGCTGGCTTACGATCACTCAAGAGCAGCTAGGCCCCCGTCCTCCCTTTACACCGTCGGGAGCCCACGGGCTGCTATCTTTATTGAGTTTTTTTGGAATCAAGATCTGTGCTCGGGCCTCTACTCTCCGGTACACCTCATGCATTGCGCAATTTGGGCGCGCGCTCTGGCCTCGATATGTACAACAATCGTCCTTTGGCCTAGCAGGGATAGTCATCCATTCTTGAGCTCCGAACGGGCTGCTCACCGCAGCCTTACTTACTATGCGCATGTCTATAGTCTGGGGCTTACAATTCCATCTACGTTTTCTCTTTGTGTACAGTAAGGACATACTCCCGTACATCGTATCAGGAGCTTGTTTGCGAGGTACATATCTATGATACAGTGCAAGGTGTGGAATAGGAATAGGTGTAGAGTCATTCGACGTCGGATGAGGGATCCTACAGGGGCACAAACATCGACTTCTTATGTATCACTGCATTCTATAGCAGATTTGAGTATTCAATCTTGCATACGAGTTGTGCTGAGTGATGCTTACAGCGGGATGTCGAAGGCGGCACAGGCTTTACACGTGGCTTTTGCGTTGCATAATGGGAATCGTGATCGTGTCCCAGACGGGTGCAGGTGGTGGACGCGGCCTTTTCCGAATCTCGCGCGCACGGGGAGCAAACGGCGACGCCTGCTCGAACCTCGAAAGGTCCACAGCTTCGCTGGAGATGAAAAATTTGATGAACCCGACGTCCACGTCCTGGGTTTTCTCGAGAGTGAACGTGCATGGAGTACCGCCGCCGGCACCGTAACCAATAGTCAGATCGCCGTACTCCGGGAGTGACGGTTCGGGACCGCGTTGTCCGATCACTGGCGGCGTATGATATGGAGCTGCAGGTTCATAGTATATCTGATTGGGAGCTTTAAGAGAAGGAGCCTCACTTACAGATGGATAAAGTGCTGCAGTTGAAGTAAAAGGCCCAGACGTGAAGCGGATAGTCAGAGTGGTTGTGAAGCGCGATTCCGTAGGGCGTGTCGCCGTCCGCGACAACCTCCACAGAACCTTGGTCGAAGAGGCTGACATTGCCGTCAATGATCCAAGGACGCCTGCGCCCTGATTCAGGTTCTCCGTCCGTGTCCTCTTTGAGTTTGTGGAACCGTACGTCGACTTTGGTAGAAAGTTCTCGCCACGCAGTAGAGCGAAGTAAACGCGAAAAGAAATGAGCAGCGCCAGTCAGTACACGCCGTATTGATTCCGGGTCCACGCTCGTCGTTCCAAACAACAGCGATGGCACCAGCGAGGTGATAAGACTATCTTTTGAGGTGTATACGGCGCGGCCTCCAGTCGTGCGCACAGTGAGGTGCGCATCTTCCTCCTTGTCAATCACGATGATGGTACCTCCGCCGTGCCGCAACTGGTACTGGGCCGCTAACTTTAGAGCGCTTTCGATGGTATCAGCACCTGCGTCGAAAGGCGAGTAATGAAAAAAAAGTGCGCCGTCTCTTCCCCCAGACTCGAAGGATGCGAAGTAGGGCTGCTTCTCGTAGGGGAGCGCCGGATGCGGAGGTAGAGTAGTGGAAAACGCCTCGACTTTACTGGTGGTTCCGAGCTTCAATCTTGCCAATGCTGCACCGGCGGCCTGGTGCCTAGAGGACCTGTAAAGGGTAAATTCGCTGTCGCTCGTCACCCCATGCATGACACCGGCGCTGATGGAGACACAATTATTCTCTTCAACGATCTTCACACCATATAACGTAGGCCAACTGCAGGGCACGAGTGCGTTAAAGAGCGGACGTTCAACGTATAAACCCTCGCATTGTGGATCTTGACTGATGTACACAACGCATCAGCATATGTGTTGATTTCATGTTATCGCACTTACCTGGGTATAGCCGGGATATGCTTTATCAGCTCGCGATAAGTGGTTCTGTCGGTAGGTATCCTTTTGAGAGTAGTGATGAGCGCGTGAGTGAATAGTCCGCGGTTCTCTCCCTCGTAGGCAGTCTCAGTCTCGCGGCAGGCAGCCAGCAGCACGTGCGATCTGACACCAGCTCGGGCAAAACCCACAGCGGCGCGCATGCTTCGGCCCTGCAGACCAGTGCTCCATATGTGTCTGTCTACATCTGGCAATATGCGACGTGTTCGGACGCTTCGAGGTCGAAGTAAGGGACTCCTAGAGGAGCCGCGAGTACCAGAATCGGAGTGAGAGCAGTCAAAAATGACGGTCTACTCAACGAGGTAAGCACAAAACCAGTATATGATATGAAGAAAGAGCCTACTATGTTATCGCTGATTTTGCTTTTCCCCTCCGCGAGGTCATGTAGAAGTGCGCCAATAGTTCGATCTGGAATGGCGTGCGTGACTAGGTCATCCGGATTATCGTCGAGCCAACCGGTAGCATCGTGCGGTACAATGAGTGAAATCGGCCGCGTCCCTACGTTCCAGCCCTCCGGCGCAGCCGATGCAGAGCCATGCCCGGCAAAGTAGATCAGGATAGGGCCACCATCACGAATGGTAGCCCACATCGCAAACGCCTGTATGTTCCGGATGATGGCGTGACGAGTAGCATCCATGTTGCGAAGGTTCACAATCTGACGCTCAGGGACGTGAAGCTCGGTACGTAGATAGTTGTACATGGAATCGGCATCGAAAACAGCCCCGCTGAGATTGTCGATGTAGTCGGATTCGTATTCATCGATGCCAATGATCAACGCATGAAGCTCGGATGCGTGTCCATCGATACCAAACGAATCAAACGCCGGTGTCGACCATGGCTCTGTTTCTGTGGGAAAGTGTCTGATCGAGATGCTTCTGAAGCGATCCAGGTTGTGCTCTGGCTCTGGCTCTGGCTCTGCATCTACTTCCGGATCGAGACCCTCGGGCTCTGGGATGATATGATTGGAGTTTGCGTCGGTAAGCAGGGGTTCTACTGGATGCTCGTTCGAAATCTCCGTTCGATCACCAGCAGAAAAGGAAGAGCCCCCTTCTTCGTCAGATCTTGATGGTAGCGACGTGTTTTGTAAGGACGTGTCCGGGGCTTGTAGGGGGGTAAAGACTATGTCGGACGAAATGTCTTGTGATCTATATGCCAGGTTGTTAACATAGTGCAGCGCGATCTCCAACATGTACTAACCCCGGGCCTTCTAACACATTATCCTCGATATCGGTATCGGAGTTCCTCGTTGCCCAGTACTTGCGAGGACATCCGGTACTAAAGGAGGGGTCAGCTCCAGTCCAATCGCAGAGAGTATCGGGTACTGACCATTGAATCAAGCCATCGTCGGGTGCGTCCGGAGAACAAGTCCTACAATAAGGGCACTCCAGTTTGCGAGCGAACTGGCGAATGACAATGCTCATTTCGAGGGTCATGCCAGGCCTCACAGATTGCGCCCACGACGATGGTTGGATGATAGATGTGGTGGTCTCTGTGACGGTATTCATGAGTGTATATGAGCCGGATCGCACATAACGCTCTCCCGGCTTATTCTCAAATTGATCAAGGAGCAACTCATGAACATTCTGTGCGTATCGAATGAGAGACGGTTCTCATACGAAAGAACCTGAATACATACCTCCCATGTTTGAAAGTTCCCCAAGGGTAAGAGCATATGAAGCCCGAGCACGTCCACGATGATGATAGTTTCGGAGCGTGAGTACTCTGGTGCGCGGGGTATCTTCGGTAGCCCGAGAGAACATATGCGACTCCGGAAGAAGAACCATGTGACGCAGGCAGACGCCATGGGTAGGAACGCAGCCAGGAAGGCTCGTGGGTCCGTCAGGATCGCGTACCAGATGTTGTCTAGGTCACCGCCCACGCTAACTGAGACAGCGGCTGCCGCTATTGAATACAGCATATGCCGAAGCCTGGCGAGGTCGGCAGGGGTCGCATCGTGGAAACAAGATAGCAAGTTGTCGACGAGTGCCTCGAGAGATGATTTAGCGTTGCGGGCTGTGAGGGTGATCGTCGCGTGCCACAGGTTAACCGTTCGTCCGTGGCCTGATGTACGGCCGCAAGATCAGTCCCTCGGCTCACCAACTCTACACCAGGATGTCAACGAACCTGGATGTACATCTCCGTGCGTAGAAGTGACGTTCCATGCTGGTTGAAGTTCGCGATTGCCATCTGAAACACACATCCGGCGCGTTAAGCCATGTTACTTGGACCATATAGCATGGCATACCGAGTCTAGCCTGCCATTGACCCAGAAATGCGCGCATCTCCAATATATGGCCTAGCAAATCATAGACGCCCACTAGAACTCGGTAAACAAAGTAATTTTGCAGGCGTAGCATCGGTGATGAGGCTTACTAGACTGCATCGCCGTAGACATGACTGCTACATCCTGAGAGACCTTCGTGACCTTGCCCTCTACTCGCGTCATCGTCGTTTCGAGGCAGACCACAGCTGATATGTGTAAGTATATGGCAGACAGGGTCAAAAAGCTACGAGCGCACCGTCCCATAAGAAAGATGACAGCTTGTGTAGATCGCGCTGGACTTCTGTCAAGATGAGAAGATGCTCTTCGTTCTCGAGATCTTCAAACCGCTGAGATGCTGCCATGATCGCGACGTTTTTGCTTGACAGTACCGAGAGGAAGTGTTCTTCTCGCGCATGATGAGCTTAACGCGCGTCTGAATATTATCCGAGGAGACGCACCCGCTCGGTTCTGTTTCATCATCTGAGTGACAAGGGCCAGAGAGTCTAGCATCTCGACAAGTATCTTGACGACAAGATCCCGAGACGCCAGAGTGAGAGGTGAGACGGCGCGGACATCCAAGCGCGTCATGTACGACTCGAATTTCTTCAAGATCCCGATGACGGCGTCCAACCGATCGCTCATACCCTTCGTCGCCTAGAATCAAGTTGAGTATAAGTGCATCATGTTAAACGAGGAGAGTGTTACCTGAAGGAGGACTCCAATAGCAACGAAGATCGCCTTTCCACCGGGGACGGCCTGCCTCAACATGAGTTGGATTGGACCTGTTACAAGACAGGCAGTACTCGTACCAAAGCGGCTGCGACTTCACCAATCGCCTCGATCACACCAGTACTCAATACAACACGAGCGATTGTTCGCAACGCTCCGCGAATCTTGGTGCCGATACTTTGAGGGTGGGGATGCCGGTATAGGTCAAACTCCCTCCCAATATCATCCAGGACGTTGACAACGGCCTGGTAGTCTGCAAGCCCTGTCAAGCGTTTGCAGAGATCGGACTCCTCATCGCTAAGATCCACGCCCGCAACATCCCTATATCGGCGCAAGGCCTCATCCCAGAGGTCGGCGATGATATGCGCCCCGTGCGAGGAATATCCGACATCCAGTGGTGCGAGCAGAACAGGTGCCTCTGCACCACCATGCCGATGTGTATGTCCATTACAGCGAAGCATCAACGACGGCAAACTGGATGGATGATTAGGAGAGGGCGGTGCATCCTTGGGTGTGGCGGACGTTGATGCGGGTCTCGTTGATGCCGGGGGGAGGGTGACGGTCGAAAGCGGAAGAGAGTCTGCGGATGGTCGGTATTCATGATAGCGGTTATGCGAGGGCGGCGGGCCAGCGGACGCGTTCGGCTCGTCGGGTCCTTCCGATGGTTGGGGATGGGGATCGTCTGGCTCTCTTGTGCGTCCATCCTTGCCCAAGCGCTTCCTGACAGAGAGGGCGGCGCTCTTCTTCAGTTTCTTGAACTTTCGGAGCATAGTCCATTCACGATAAGCACTCCAGAAGGAAGAGAGGTGGTGGTAGTCGAAGCTAGGATACAACACGAGGACTGAGTGCGGCAAGCCCGTTGAGGCAGTGACCACAAGATGAGTATGAAGTTCGTGGTAACACATGGCCTTACCGGGCTGGCCAGACAAGCGCCGAGCGAAGCTTTGAAAATGGCGACCAGTCGTAGCTACTCATGGCCTGAGAGTTCGCCTGGTATTGTCATGAGTAAATGATGGTTTCATGAACTGGTAAACGTCGACTGCAAGGGCGAATAGACGTGAAGGTCATGGTCATCGACATCCATCAACGACGTGTGCACAAAGAGCGGGCGAGGGTTTCGGCGTTTGCCGAGGTCTTTTCCCACGCCATGACCAGTGTTGAACGAGCTCAATTACTGGCACCCATGAGCGGTGTTACGCAACTGGCCTCGGGCCCTGCTCGCGGAAGTAGACATCTGCATGACCAACAGAGGATCTGCCGCACTACGGCGACGATGGAGAAGAGAGAGTTAGTAAGGCACTGTTGGCAATCACGTAGAGGGCAAACGTTCATCATCACGGCGACGCGCTCAAATAAGACAGCCTCCATAATTAATTCACTCGATACATCACACTTCGTACAGCAGCACCTAATACTTCCGCCCCAGATTCATCCTCGCCCGTCTAATTCAGAACCCAGAGTTGTACGCGTCCCGACCACTGCTAGCCTCATCAACCTGCTGATCAACCTTCCTCTCCTGCTCAAACGCATCGACCTTCACACCGCGCGTGCGGCCGGACACGTCGCGCTCCTCGGGCGTGAGCTCCGAGACGAGGGCTTGCGCCTCACCTACAACCGATCCTCAGCGTCAACAATCGCGCTCTGAATAACGAATGGATGAAGAGGAGCTCACCCTTGGGGATACGGCCCGTGGCGTCGCTCTCAGCGGCCATGCGGTCCTCGCGCTCGGCATCGAGCGCGGAAACCTGCTCGGCGCCGCCGCGGACGTTGGCGCGGACGTCGGGGACGTCGTCCGAGCCCGGCTTGTAGTCGTCGTTGTCGTACGTCTGCGAGGCGGCGGGGTTGTACATCGCGTCGGACATCTTGAGTAGAATGTGGAGTTGGATTGGAAGGGTTGGGTAGAGTTGTGGTGTGGTGGTTTGCTTTGTTGAGGCTTGGGGGATGGAGGTGAAGGGGTCTTATAGCCGTAGACGTCTAGGAGTCTAGATAGCCGGGAGAGTAACCACGCTGCGTGTACAGCGTGCGGTTAGGAGAGAATATGACGTCCGACCTTGATTCAGAGTGAGCGCATAGAGAAACAACGCGCACAATCGAGGCAGGCGTCATGCGCGGCGACCCATCTGAGTCGCTGCCGTTGTTGTCAATGCGCCAGGAGAGGCCTGATGTATGACGTCTGAAGGCAAAGATCGGACGCAGCCCCGACATCCGACGTCGAGCGCTGGGCGCCGAACGTTGGGCGTTGAACGTTGATTGATGGTTGTTGCCGGGATGCGAAGATTCGATGGGATTTCGTCCGCGGGATGTTGGTGGGTTAGGAGGGAGGAGCTCCTGGCACTGGCAGGAGGCAGGAGGTCGGACAGCCGACGTTGCGCGGTGAGGGATAGCGTGGCATTAAGAATCCGCCCCGCATGCGCCCGGAGCGGGTCTGGTCTCTATTACAAAGCAAGGACAGGTCGTAGTGTACTACAAAGATGGCGTGCAGGAGAACATGAACGAAGAAAGAAAGCGATAAATAGCATCCAACAAAACACATCGGGTGGCGCGCGGCGCGACGTGTGAACGCGACGTCAACGCGTCAACGATCAACTTCACGCGCTGCCGGCGTGGTCCTCGATGAGGTCTACATTCGTAGGCTGGCTCGCAGTATAGAGGTAGAACAACCCGAAGATGAAGAACAGCGCCGCGCCGCCGAGCGTCACTGTTCACATAAAGCGCGTCAGCATCAACGGAAGCAGATCCACCGATAGGGGGAAATGTTGGGCTTACCGTGTTTTGCGGAGACTTTGGACGCGACGTAGCGGCCTGCGACGACTGCTACGGCTGTACAGATCGAGTGGCCGATGATGGTGCCGAGTGTTACGAGGTACACGTTCTTTAGAGTTGATGAGCGGTGTGTCTTGGGAGGCGGACTGAAGGTGAAACAACGTACGTGTGCAGCGGCCAACGCGATAGTTGCGATCTGGGAGCGGTCGCCCCATTCGCCCAAGAACGTCAGGACAAATGCCTGCACGAACACTGGTCCGAAGACCAAGCTCGACAAGTTGCGCGCGCCGTCCATCCACGAGCTCGCTCTCACAGGCGCCGCCGACGCGCTGAACTCGCCCGCCTCGGCGCTTGCGAGAGGAATTGAGCCGGGATCCGCCGCGGCCTCAGCCTCCTCAATCTCCTCCTGCGCCTCCTTCATCTCCTCCTCCATATGACTGCTCCCCCCGTCCATCCGCACGCCCTCCCTGCACATCTTGCCCGCAAACACGAAAAACAGCACGGCGGCGGCGGCCTGCGTCCACCGCTTCGGTATCAGCGTCGGCAGCAGATGGCCGAGCGCGGCGGAGAGGATGGACATGACGACGAGCGAGCCGAAGGCGCCGGCGAAGACTGTTAGGCGCGCGTGCCGCATGGCGAGGATCGCGGCGATGAGGAAGGTCTTGTCGCCGATTTCGGAGACGAGGATCATTGTGAAGGCTTGGATGAAGGCGTCTGTCGAAGATGACGCTGGTATTTCGATTTGGGTGGACATGGTCGGCGTGCGGGGCAGGAGGAGAGGGTCGTGGGGTGGGGAAGAACGACGTGTGGTCGGAAGAGGTGAAGTTGAGATCAAATGTGCGCAGCAAATGACAACGCGTCTATGTATAAAAAGGCCGAGGTCGAAGGCTTCCTGTCCGACGAATAAGAGCGGGCCGGTTCAGTCACCAGGCCTATAAGAAGGAAGAGAAGTGAAAGACGAGGATCGAGAGGGTGAGAGGCAAAGGACGTTTGGGCGCAATCATCTCACAGCCTCGGTGCGTGTGTTGGACTGGAACTGCGACTTCCAAGACTTGCCGGCGGCTGAATAATTCTTGGGCGCTCCTTCTGTGAGAAGCTGCGCCACAAGGCCGAGCACGTCGCCGACGCAGTATTGGAGTACTTGGCGGTCTAGTATCTGACCTCTTTCAGAGCTACTGTATGCGTACATCGACTCCGGAACACATAAACTGTCCGCAGGTAGAGCAGGACGTGTGGGAGTAGTTGCTATTTTGATCCATGAAGCATGAAGTCGAACGAATGGTCCAGGGAGAGTCAAGTCGGATGAGCCTCTTGAATGCTTCGCCATCTCGCATCCGCTCACTCTCACGTTCTGAAGACTTTAATGAGCCTGAGGGCATACCTTACGCACCTCCTCGTCAAGTGTTGGAGTGTTAGCATGCCCTGGCGTAGTACTGAATAAGAAGAGGGAGACCTTACTGTATTTATGACCCATCAAATGCCAGTTTACACCGGCAGGCGGCTTGCGCCCAGAACCGGTGTACAGAACTCACCCAGTACAATCTCACCGTAGTTCAAGCACCTCCTATGCACTTTCCGTGAACCAAATGGCTCGAGGGAAAGAAGGAGAGCGGTAGAACCTGTCTGGGCAGATCGCGGCGAGGACGTACTGAGTTCCCATTTGCACTTCCAGACTTCTGACCTCTATATCTCTACACATACCCCCAAATAACTTGCACACCGCTGAATCACCTACGAACACTGCCTTCTATGCAAGCTGAGTCTGACCCGGTTTATGACAGCTACCAAACTCGCACGTCCTACTTCCCATTCACGCCATCCGGATAAGTACCGGGGTCAAAATAGTATGCCTGTAACGGCGCAGATATAGTCTTCTTCAGGCGTGCTATAACGTATTCAAAGAACAAGCATCGTCCAGTACTCTCAGCCCTCATGCCCGGTATCCCTTCTCAAGATCATGAACGGCGCCTCGAGCCGGTCCTCAACCCAACGCCCGACGTGCCCTTCCCCCACCCAAGCCACCCCATAACAACATCCTTCGCGAAAATCTCTCCAAAGCCCAACATCACACCGTTGACGAATGGTAGTAGCAAGTTAATCCCGACAGCGCCCACGAGCGCCCATACGCGCGTGCGCGTTGAGAGCGTGCTGTCGAAGATGGTGAGCGTAGCGGAGGAGGTCTTGTCGCCGTGATGGTGATGCGCGTGGTCGTGGTGCGCGTGATGGTGCTGGTGGTGGGTGTCGGAGCCGGAGGCTTGGTGCGAGTGCGGGTTCGAGTCTTCGGGGAACGAGAGCGACGGGAAGGACGAGGTTAACTCGGACGGGACGTCTTCCCAGGGCGCTGAGCTCGGCGACTTTTTGTGCTCGTTGGAGGTCGAGCCGGGGAGGATGCGCTGCTGCCTTCATCAATAAACAACTCTCGCAAGCAGACAACATAGGAATAAAGCTTACTGCAAGCTCCTCCTCGGTCCTCTTCCCGCCCTTCTCCCCGCCCACCAAGTCCCGCCCATCAACCGGACTCGGACTATCCCTCCCAGTCCTCCCACTCGCCAACAACCGCTCCCACCCCTCGCTGCTCGTACTAGCGCCCGTCGTAGGCGGCCCCGCAATAGCCTCCTTAACCTCATTGACACTCTTCACGCCTTTACGGGACTCCTCCTCGCGAATCCTCGCCCAGCTCGCGCGCTTATTCTCCGCCGCCTCGCGCTGCTCCGCGTTCTCGGCTTTCCATTTCGCGAGGTGCGATTCGAGCTCGAGTTTGGATGCTTCGAGGGCTTCGGGCGTTAAGGGCTCTGCGTCGACGTCGGGGCGCGTTGAGGTTGATGAGGTGTCTGTGTTGAGGGAGGGTGTGTCGGAAGGTGAGGAGGAGTCTGAGGGGGGAGAAGGGGAGGAGGCGGGGAGGACCGGCTCGTGCGGGAGGGTGCCGACTGAGAACGCGTCCGAGAGCGCGGCCTGTGGTCACACTTTGTTCAGCTACGGATATATATTATATTACCACGTGTGGAATTACCTGGAGCAGGTCTTCGCCGTTGCCTGAGAGTGGGCTGGCCATGATCACGCGTGGAACTTGCCTGGAAGAGTGGACGCGAGAAAGAGGGAGAGAGGAAGGTGCGTTCTGACGCGCGCCGGCGCAAACACGAACAAAGTGAAGGCGCGAGACGCGCGCGACCCCGTGTCGCGTCGGCACGGTTGAGTTCGGACTGCTCTCTCACTGATGGGCGGGCCAGATAGCGTACACGCGCCGACACCACCGCGCCAGGGGCAGCAGCCTCCAAAGGTCGGTAACATCTCCCCCGCCCCGCACCCTGCCCCGCTCCAAACAGCGGCTCAACAGACGCTGCAGGCGCGCGATCTCAAGGGCGTGTATCCGGACGGATCGATCGAACCAGCCCTTCTTCATGCCACGCAAGAGCACATTGCTCAAATGAAGAGAGATATCGAGCTGCGTATGTACTGTATCTCATCCATCCCTATACACAACGCCTCGCTAACGACTCCGAATATGACTTTGCCGTGCACGAATAGAACTTCTCCGCGATGTCAAGACCGTTGACCCGCCCGTTGACGCTGATAGGGACTCGTGGATGGCGGACCTCGAGCGTGCATCGGTTTTGGCGGCTGAGCTCGACAAGGTGCTACCGACGTTTTTCGCCTACACAGAAGTCCCGGACCGGCCACTGGGACCCATTCTCAGCAAGGTAAAGTCCCAGCGCCCGCGTTCTCAGGGAACACTCTGCTTATTTAACATGCCTCATGATCGATCTGTAGTATCTCGGCCAAATGGTGACCGTCTCATTGCAGAAGAGGCTCGTATTGCAGCCAGAGCCGCGCTTCATCCTCGATCAGAACACACTGCGGGGTTATATACAGCAGTTTGCGAACTTGCTGGTCATAATTACCTATCGGATCGATGCCGTACGACTCGAGTTACAACAGCTTCATGGTCTCACGCCCGATGTACCGCCCGAATAGCTGTCAAGTGGTCTGTCATCGTCCTCGCCGACCTTGAAGAGGTGAGGAGTCGGCTGGCAACACCACACTTCGCTTTACACCACCATCGGTCTCTGCTGGAACACTTATTACGTCTCATACGTCATGCACCTACTCGCGCAGTTCTTACCTCCCATTTTTCACCGTTTAAATCCATGTCGCGTGTTGCTAACACCGTTGCTTTTTCGTGGGAGCCACATCCTGTCATACGACTGTACCAATCGCTAGATTCAGAGCGTCTGAACACTTCCGGCCTGGACACTATGCACCGGCTTATCTCTCAATCATCATTCCCGAATGTCTCGACATATTCGCTCTTGTTCCTTCATACTTGGTCTGTCAAGCGTCCTCTGAGCCGTACGTACGGTATATTCCTCTGTCTCTTGCGAAAGCAGAAGAGCTATGCTTCTAGTGCTGCAGAACCAGCTTGGGGACTGTGAGTATGTAATGCATGAATTAAAGGTTGTACGGTATGAGGTGTCCAGGGAGGAAACATTAGACGAGGAGGAGTCTGAGGAAGGGGAAGAGGATTGGGGTGCTTGGGAGGCGGGGAGGACCGGCTCGTGCGGGAGGTTGCCGACTGAGAACGCGTCCGAGAGCGCGGCCTGTGGGCACACTTTGTTCAGCTACGAATAGATATTATACATATTACCACGTGTGGAGTTACCTGGAGCAGGTCTTCGCCGTTGTTGGAGAGTGGGCTGGCCATTATTACGCGTGGAGGTTGGCTGGAAGGCTGGACGCAAGAGAGAGAGAGAGGATGGCACGTAACGCGCAAACACGAACAAAGTGAAGGCGCGAGACGCGCGCGACCTCGTGTCGCGTCGGCACGGCGAAGTCGGACTTCTTTCCCGAACGTCCATCGTCTCGAGCATGATCCTCGAGTATAAGCATCACACCTATGTATCATACCACTTCCAGATCAGGACTCCTGGCTCTAGCCCTCGTTTAAAACCCCAGTGATACATTAATTTGGCGCAAGATTTCCCGCACCGTCCTCCGTGGGACGTACGCGTGCATAGGCAGTGCGCGCGGACAAGGGAACAAGCGCTTACCCTCGATATCCTGTGCTACCCCACGCGTTCATATTACTCACGGGTTAATTGGGTCCCACATACATGATACGACCATCGCTCCTTCCACGACACCACACTTGGAGGTCTTTTGCGAGCATCTCTGACTACTAGCCAGTGCGCGCCACGGATACTACTCTAGGACGGACGTTCCGGCGCCTTCTTGCACGAGGTTTTCGCATTGCAGCGCTTGTCTTCCTTTCCTCAGGGCTTACCCTCAACCGCCACCACCCTCCAAACTCAAGCCTGAACCTGCGATGCCGCACGAGAAGATGAAATGGCCCTTTTGGCACTCCCCTCGAGCGAGGAAACCAGCACCTTTAGCTCCATCGTCGAGGGATACTCCCCCATCGCCCGATATCCAAGTCACCGACCAGGTGCTCCCCTTTGTGGACGATGAGCAGGGCACCGCGACGGAATCCGTTTCTTCGACCTCTTCGACCGACAGTCTAGTCCCTCCGCGTACAGTGTTCTCGAGTAAGTGGGCATCTCCCATAGCCGGGCGGAACACTGAGCGACTATTCAGAACGAACGGTTCAGGACTTGAAAGGCCTGTGGGACGAAGCCCTCTCCAAATATCACCAAAGTACTGGCGTGGACCTCACCAACTCAAAGTCCAAACTTTATCGGCGATTGAAGGATTGCAACGATCACGAGTCGATCGAACGCGCCCTCGTCAAAGCTGCCACCGACTTTCGACGTTATCGAGACCCGTCAGCGCCTGACGTTGATGACAGGCTCCGCCGCATCTTGAAACCCATCGTCGGTGCGGTGTTGAGTGTTGGCGCCTTGGAGGCAGGAGGAGAACTAGCTTCGGCTTTCGTGCGTCCTTCGCGTGTCTTACAAGCGCCGCTTGGTCTAACCCGTAACCCAGACCCTTCATGGTGGGAAAGCTCCCTTCGTGGCAGTGATGGTCCTTTTTCGAGTACGTTCATCTGCGCTTCGGGATTCCTAGCGTCATCCGAACTGACTTGACTCTAGGCTACGCAGGGTGTCAGTACGCGCTTCGACAACGTTTTGACACTTCTTGATCGGTTTCGATACTACATGTTGCGCCTGAAGGTTAGAGAAGACATACCTCTGGGACCAGAATTGCACTCCGTCATTATCGAAATACTCGTCAAGATGTTGGGCACGTTCGCCATCGTGACGAAGACAATGCAGAAGAATCGATTTGGTGCGCGCAGTCCGTCTCACGCCAAAGGTACAGGACTCATCGTCGCATAGAGCACTTTATGTCTGTCCTCGCCGGTGGGAAGAACGCCGCCGCTGATGCCGCCCGCGAGTTCGATCTACTGGAAACTCAAGATACCCGACTGATACTTTCCAGCGTGTACAAGGAAGTGTACGCGTTCAATCACACTGCGCAGGAGTGTAAGTGTCTATCTGTGCCGCCTATATGCAGCGTTTCCGAGGCTCATATCGATGGTCTTAGCTCTCTTGGCGGACGTCAAAGGGATGAAGGATGACATTGCGCAAGTGAGAGTCAATACAGGCAAGATCTTGGACCGAATGGAAGAGTGGTCCACGAGTTCGCAAGGCAGGTTCCATCTCTCGACTCGCCGAGATCTAAGCGCTAACCTCCGTGATATCTTAGTGGTTGAGAGTGGGATTGCATCGCATGCCCACAGTGCGCCATCATCACTAGTATCGACAGCAGACAAACCACTTAACGGTATGTACCTGAGGTTTTAGCCCGCACCATGATACCGATCGGTCTGTAGTCGTCTCTAGAGAGACACCGTCGGCCAGCACCTCGTTACAAACTATGGGTGAGTTCGGCGCTACACGACATGATGAACAAAAGATGGATCATCGCATTTCTGCATAGGGACTGCCGAGATCTGGAACACTTGTCTGATGATCACATACGCCAACATGGTGTCAACCGTCGAATCTTTTGCAAGTAACGTGCTGTCTGGTTATGGCGACTTTACTCCAGCTGAGCGGGCCGCTTTACGGAACGGGCTGGCCACGATATATTCCGCAGCGGCATTCACTGCCAGCAGTGGCTCAGAAAACGGTCCCTGGTTCGTTGCCTTGGTGAACCCGTCCGCCTTCGTGGCAGCATTCCTACCTATGACAATGACTTATCTTGCCGCATTTGTCTGCTGGAAAAATCTTCCCCGTCATCTTGGGCGCACACCCTCCTGCACTATCGTCATCATCGACATCGTCGGCGATCACGTGCTTGTACCTTTGGATGAATACTCGTTGTGGGAGGTGAGCTTCTCCAGTCTAGCCCTTCACCGTGTGATTGAATCGCACGTGTCCAGGACATCCACGCGCTACTTCTTCGCCGGTTCACAGACAAGCCAGGCGCTGAATTCGTGCGCTCTCGCGATTACAGAATCATGGATACGGCCGGAGAGTCAGCGATCATCCAACCGACAGCATGGACGCAGATTGTGAAGGCTGGTATGACTCTCGAGATGGGCATCCTACTTCGTCAATCATCACTTCAGCTCCAATGCCCTTACTGTGATCTCCTTGCTTCGCAAACACTATACGCTGACGAGTTTCTTCGCTGGTATAAACATCGCTTCTTTCATCGCATGCACTTCTCGCTAATATTTGAGGTAGTAAGCGTTGCAAGCACCAATACAGAGCATCCATTGCGGACATTGCAGATATCGACGACCCCTTTATCAGGTGAGTTTTTGTGATGCCGTCTAATAGCCGCATGTCCTCGGTCTAACAAATATTCTTTCGCTCGAGAACGCTCCTTACTGGCATCGATCCGTCAACAAATGCTCTTATCTCACAAATGGTCAAACTGCTGCTCTCCGAGTTCACTGATATTCCAAACGGCACGCCGGCAGAGGCCACCCACGACGGTGACTTCGCAGTGCAAGGTGCACAATCACCACGCACAAGAGACATGACCTTGTTCCGGAGAATCCTGGTCGAAGTGTTACCAGATACGCATCACACCTCACACAGTGAGTTATCTCTTGCTCGGCTCGAACATCTCATGGATATCCCTTCTGCAGTGTGGATGGTTCTCTCACATCGCCCACAGACACTGTATCGACTGGGTCGTCATCTCTGCCAGATAATCGTTTGCGTTCCGACGATGTCACGGGATCTATATCCTTGTCATTCGATCAGGGAGGTGTCGAAGATCTACGCCGAATACGCGAGGCCGAGGCTCTGCCGCACCAAGATGGCCGACGCACCGCTGTCGCACCGATTCCTGCACCCATCTCATGCCCGAGCAATGGCTTTGTTTTTAGCCCTGCCGCCCCCGAAGCGCATATCATAGCAGATCTGTGGCACGAGGTTTTCTGTCGGTACCGCGACATCGTTGGCGTGGGCCTGAAGACTCATGACGCAGACCTTCAACGGCATTTTGAGGGATGCGCTACATACCACGATACTGTTGACGCCTTGATTGGCACTGTCAATTCGTTCGAACTCTATCGCAACCCAGCTCCGAATGGCGCGGCCGCAAAGGTCCGCGGGGCGCTACGTGATGTCATGAGTGTCGTGTCGAGTATCGGCGTTGTCAATGTGGCTGGAGAAGCTGCAGCTGATACGGTACGTTGACTGATCATGGCCTACGATGTCGCGGCTTTTGCTAATACTCTTCACGTGTAGACCGTACCAGGAGGCAAATCGATCTTCGTGGCCATAGGAGTGCTTCTCAAGGTATGTCTGTGTGGACAAATAGCTGATCCATTCCATGAACGAGGTCTCTTCCAGGTGACTAAGAGGGTTAGTGATCGCTTTGATGCAGTCACAGTCCTCTTCGAGAAGTTCCAGCGCTACATGACGCGTCTTCAAGATCTGCGCCTAAGTGGCCCCATCCAACATGCGTCGCATGAGCTCGCTGTTAAGATCCTGGTTGAGATGATCGGTTCTTTGGCACTAGCCACTCAGCTGATGCACCAGAATCGGGTCGGTACGTCTATCCAGTTCCATCATTTCTCTGGCTGGAGCTGATCCTGAGCGCAGAACATCTCGCCTCTGTCCTTCTTGGATGAGGAAGTGATGTCTATGATGCGACTCAAGATTTCGAATAGCAGCCGCGAGGGTCACCGAATAAGTAAGTTGATGCCTGAAGGTGCCTCGGGTTAAGAATGTCAGCGGATATTGGTTTGCTGTCCCCCGTCGTCGGCGGCCCCGTAATAGCCTCTCTAACCTTATTAAATGACACCCTTCACCCCCTTCCTCGACTTGAACTCCTCGCGAATCCTCGCCCAGCTCGCACGCTTACTCTCCGCCGCCTCGCGCTGCTCCGCGTTTCCGGCTTTCCATTTCGCGAGGTGCGACCCGAGCTCGGCTTTGGATGCTTTGAGGGTTTCGGGCGTTAAGGGCTCTGCGTCGACGTCGGGGCGGGTTGAGGTTGATGATGTGTCGAGGGAGGGCGTGTCAGACGAGGAGTCTGAGGAGGTGGCGGACGGAGGTGGCGGAGGGGGAGGAGGCGGGGAGGACCGGCTC